GCATATTGTATGACTGCATTCATATTCCATTCACCCAGTTTCAATGTAACATCGATAGGTTTAGGCTACTACATGATAACTATAATTTTTGCGGTTGCTACAACCTAACCTATGAATGAAAGTTTACAAGCGTAGGTGCACATGTCGAGACAAAATTGTAGAGTAATCAAGGGTGACAGACATTGACATATTCAATACCACCTTGCACACTTGCCTGCATCTAGCTGATCTAAGATGTAATCATTAGTCCAGCAGTTGCAAACATAGTTTCTATTGGAACAATTAAAGTATGTTTATCACCGTTTTGTTCCGTTTGCTTCTGCCTAAGAAACAACACACACAATAGCATGATTACCTTTGCTCGTTGTAGCCTACATCGTTGTTACCATATTAGCTAATATCATAGTCAACATAGCTACTGGAAACTAAACGCGTTAGTAAACAGTCCCCTGTAGCTCAGTTTGGTAGAGCATGGCGCTTGCAAACGCCAGGGTTGTGGGTTCGTTTCCCACGGGGGGCAGTATGAAATGAATGCACTCAGTAAACTAAGTCACTCTGGATAAGAGCGTCTGGCTACATGACTAAAATGTAAATGTAAAATGTAACCCGCTACAATCATGCAGTACATTGTACAGTCAGCAAACATTTTAGCAGTTACATCGGCCGGCCCCGGTAGCAATACATTATAAAACAAAAAGCTTACCTTGACTTGGAAGTGTTCCAGTGTTGGATAGCCATTGCCAGCTAGCTAACATATGATCCCTCTCTGTTTGAGCTGGGTGTTTTGAGTAGGCTAAACTAGCTAGCTGCATTCGCTAAGTAAGTGAAAGTGGGAAAAAAAATACAACGAAATATAGCTCGCCTCTCTCTCTCGCTTCTTCATTTTTGAATAAATTAATTTGTTCAAAACTGTTCAACTATTGTCTTTCTCGCTCTCTGAGTCAAGTACTCACCACATTTTATGCACTGCAGTGCTAGCTAGCTGTAGCTTATACTTCAGTACTAGATTAATTCTCTGATCCTTTAAATTGGGTGGACAACATGTTAGTTTCATGTTGCAAGCGCTCTGATAGGTTGGAGGACGTCCTCCGGAAGTTGTCATAATTACTATGGAAGTCTATGGAAGGGGGGTGAGACCCATGAGCCTCCTAGGTTTTGTACTGAAGTCAATGTCCCAGAGGAGGACTGAAACTAGCTATCCTCCGGCTACACCATGGTGCTACCCTACAGAGTGCTGTTGAGGCTACTGTAGACATTCATTACAAAATAATTATTTGGTGATGTGAATATATTTAGTATAGTTTTATCTAAACATTTTATCTAAAAAATCCTCATCAGTGAAATTCACTGATGAGGATGGGCCTCCCCCTTCATCCTCTGAGGAGGCCTCCACTGTCACAGGTATAGCCAGATGAGCGTTGTCACTTTAATAACTCTACCTACAAGTACATATTACATTTACATTTTAGTCATTTAGTAGACGCTCTTATCCAGAGCGACTTACAGATAGTGAGTGCATACATTTTTTCATACTGGCCCCCCGTGGGAAACGAACCCACAACCCTGGCGTTGCAAGCGCCATGCTCTACCATTACTCGACTAACCTGTGCCCCCGCACTTTGACTCGGTACCCGGTACCCCTGTATATATCCTCGCTATTGTTATTTTTACTGCTGCTCTTTAATTATTTGTTACTTTTATTTCCTATTATTTTTTTGATTATTTTTTTGGGGTATTCTTTCTTAACTGCATTGTTGGTTAAAGGCTTGTAAGTAAGCATTTCACTGTAAGGTCTACACCTGTTGTATCGGCGCATGGTGACGAATAAAATTCTCTGGTAGTTTACTATTATTCAGGTAAAACACTATTTTCAACAGCGCATAGATAACAATAATCTAGCGAATTACTTAGGTAATAAACTAATAAAGACTATCACTCAAGCCATTTTAGCATTTGAATGCCAAAGGTGACACACATATGTGCAAGATCAGGAACAGGCCACTACCCAGTGTTTCCCAACAATTTTTCAGTGAGAATCGCTATTGGCCTCCTTCATTTGTCGCTAGATTACGTTTTGCCGTTACCGCGAGGACTTCACAGCTCCAATTTGCCTTGCTGCGGCACAGATGCGGTCGCCCTCTCCAGCCCCCCCCCACTAAAATTGGCAACACCGTGCCTACCTCACGTTGTTTCAACGTGCGAAGCTGGGCACAGTTTCTCAGTTGACAAGGCTACTGATATTGCCTGGGTTGTTCGGCATGCAAATCACTTTGCAGATCAATGACTCACAGATCAATGACTCAACACAGTTTACATGCAGTTGACGCTTAAGGAGCGGAAGCATCCAGTTGTCACAAGATTGAGAGGTATTTTCGGAAGGTAGAAAAATGTAATATGAGCAAACATTTTTGTGAAACCGGCGATTTTGTAACGTTTGTATCGATTTCTGACTGCTGCATGGTACATTTGGATCGGTTTGGGGTCCGTGTACTGATGCACTTGCATTTTAAACATTTGAATCTGGGACCGATGCATCTCCCCGAATTGTTACAATCCCTAGAAATAATTTTTCTCTGTTTTTCGTTGGGAAGGGTATTTATTTGTGTATTGGTCTCTAAGTCACACAATGTAGATTAAACACTTTTCAACTCGTAAGACTACAATTGAGTTGTAAAACAGGTGCATTTCTCCTTGTTTTTATTGCAGGAAATAGACAGGATATGGATTCACAAGCAAACTTTAAACCAGAACCTGCCGTGAGTGTTTTAAAGACATGTTTATTACAATCTTATACCCTCATAATATATCACAAACTTAATTGCATATCTCCAGGCTTCTTGGCCTTTAAGGGAAAGGGCCTTAATCATTCAACAATACAAGGTTTTGAACTCTGTTTTTTTCTCAGGAGGTGCCTGGCGTTGTGTGTGGGCGAGACCAAGTGAGAGTGGATCTGCATCGCCTCTAAGACCTCGGCGCTAAGAGCCGTGATGGAGGAGAGTCAGGGAAGGTTCCCCTTAGCCCCGTCAGCCCTGCTGTTCCTCTCCCAGGTAGGGACCAAACACGCATCTGTTCACATAAGAATGCTACTCATTAAATTATTCATGAAAAAACGTGCTCTCAGCTCTTACGCTGTCTCTCTGCTCTCAGGTTGTTTTGTTTTGTGGTAGGTTTAGTGTGTTTTTTTGTATGTTGTTGTTGCTTTCCTTCCATATGACTTCCCCATCAACGTGATGGTGTCTAACCTAGCCCTGTCATGAGTCTCTATGGCACATGACACCTCAGTTCGACCTACTGCCTCGACCACCAGGGCAAAGGTTTAAACCTCCACACACACTAACTTCATCTAAACAGATCAATGCTTTTTAGCTTATCCCTTCCTATTTAATGTCATAAAACATTTCTCAAACTTTCATACAGGTTGGCCTGGGACTTTTCTGTGGCAGCTAAGCAGTAAAGTGGCTTAAAAGCAGTCGATTAGTAAAGTGAGTTTTCTTCTTCCCATATAAACATAGCAATCTTTTGCTTGTCTCTTTAAAGAAGAGTTCTACAATGTATTTCCCTGCATTGTCCACACTCACTGCTCAGCAGGATACATGTCCTGGCGAGTGTCTTTGAGCCTTGTGCTGTCTGGGGATGTCAGCTGCCAGAGGTGCGTCCAGGTCGACTTGCCATTGTGTGAGAACACTGCTGGCTGAGCTGCACGAGGCCTGTTTCTCATTCACTACTGCTTCCATTCCATCCAAACCCACTTCCTCTGGCGAGCATCTTCTGCAGACTGTAGAAATGCAAAGGGTTGGTGTCCCAATTGCACCCTATTCGCTATATAGTGGCACTAACTTTTAACAAGGATGGCACCCTATCCCTTCATAGTCCACTACTTTGGAAAAGTGTGTCATTTGTAGACGCAGACGGGTGTTGTTTGCAATGGCTGTTGTGAGGTGATATTTGAGAACCATTCGGCGATGCATTATTCACCAACCATTTCTCTCTTTTGTCAATTTTTTGTTCTAGAATGTGAAAAGGACGAGTATATCCCATACTTAAGCAGTGGAACCAGTTTCATCAGCTGGTGCCCAGAATGTCACATGGAGTTTGAGAATACGAGTATAACCCTGCCTGTCCTCACAGCCCATAAGGGGAGTCATAGGCACCGAGTTATTATGAATCAGATTTTTTTGTTTTTGTTAATTACAAAAAAAGCACACTGTCATTTTGTTCTTCCTCGACTGTATATCTGAATCATCCAGACACTTGAACTGGACCCTAAAGTCTCTAAAAGGTGGGATACGGACGTGAGGACGAGCCCTGCCGCCCTCATGAGCTTCACCCCTGAGATGAGCTTTTCTTCCCTCAAGCAGCCTGGAGCTACTTCTGGAGGGTGAGGTGGGAGAGCTGGGCACTGGGCACCAGAAAGATGTTGCGTCTCAAAGACAATCTATTCCCTACATGGTGCAACTATATAGGGAATAGGTTGCCGTTTTATGATGTAGCCATAGAGGAGGGAAAGGGAGGGTCTGGGAGGGAAAAAATACCATCCTTGTTTTTGTATCAACAGATGGGCTTTCTCCTCTCCCAGAGCAGACAGAGAATCCTTTGGCCTTAACAACCCTCAGGACTGTCCCTGCAGTGAGTGGTGTGCTTCGGTTTGATTGATACGGTTACTAAGTTTTTCGGCATCATGACGAATAGGGTTACATACCCATCCCCTGCTTATCTGTAACATCATAGACTTGAATAGGGTGTAACATACCCATCCCCTGTGGTCCTCTGTAGCTCAGCTGGTAGAGCATGGCGCTTGTAACGCCAAGGTAGTGGGTTCGATCCCCGGGACCACCCATACACAAAAATGTATGCACGCATGACTAAGTCGCTTTGGATAAAAGCGTCTGCTAAATGGCATATTATTATCATCATGACATACCCTTGGTGAGCAGGACATTGTTGCAGCCTGCAGCGACAGCACAGCGCAGGATGGTGCCCAGGTTCCCAGGGTCCCGCACGTTGTCACAGATCAGGGACAGTGGCACAGACTGACCACGCTGGTCCTGAGGGAATGTCAGCCGGGATGGGTCTGGCCGAGAAAATATGGCTACAAGGGGAAAGCATTGTCAATATACAATACTTATTCTCAACAATATACAGTAGTATGTAGAACAACTTCAAAATCATTCTGAAAATGAAATCATGCAGCCTATCATACCTATCACTCCCTGTGGCGCTACAAGGTCAGACCAGATCTTGATGTCCTCAAACTTGACTTTGACCAGAGTGGCCCTCTTCAGTTTGTCCAAGGGGAGCTCACACAGTCTGTCCACAGAACTGAAGAACACCATCTGGGGGTTGGCACCAGCAGCCAGGGCATCGCAGATCAGACGTCTCCCCTCCAACAGGATCTTACCCTGGTGCTCCCGAAACGTCCTGGAGCGAGCCACACTCACCACCCTCCTGGTAGATGGCGAGAGGATAGAAGTGGTCAAGGGCAAGAAACATAGCAGGCTATCTGGGCTGAACATCAACTATCATACAAAGCCTACATGCAAACATACATCACAGCCCCGTAGTTACTAGACCTCTACTAGCCACTATAATGAAAGAGGATATATTCACTCAACTATCTACCTAACATAGGGTCGATAGCCAACATGCACTGAGACCTACGCCAATCTTTTGTCACCAGGGAAGGCCCTTTCGAATTTGAGGCCACCTAGTTGGTCCTTCAGATTGGTTGTATGTTCCGACGTTGAGGATGCATTGCCATTTCTGGCACTCCATGACATGCTGAAAACACTATCAGTGGTCTCATTTTTTAAATTGGTGTTGACAGTGGACCCAACTGTCTGAGACTGCTTGTTGCCGATTTTATCTGACCTCTGTTTCGATGTCGTCTCACTATCAGGATACAACACCTTCACAGGTCTCCTTTTCAATGCTCGCACGTATCTCTTTGAATCTACGATACAGTCGTTGCCTTTTTTCAGAATATTACTTCGCTCTGCTGTAAGAAGATGCCACAACATGCGTCTCATGAACGCCGCCATCTTCGCGACAAGAGCAAGAAGAGGGCGTGGGAACATTCGACAGTGGCATGACGATTGGTTGGTTTATACCATTTAAAAAAAGGGGGGGGGGTAATCCAAGTAAAACGTGTTTTATGTTGGTAATACTGATCTGTAAAACAATATTAGATGCTTAACTTTTAATTTAAATACTCCTCGTTATCTTGAGATAGATTTGTGATCTGCAATTGAGCGGCAAATCATTTTAGCTATAGCGAAAATGTTGTCTTCCATAGAATAGATACCAGAGCAATCGATTGCAAGGATCCTCAATCGACGTAGAGAAACGGAGCGTGATATATAATCGTATAGTACACAGCAAACTCACCTGGGATATCATGGCTTTGAGGCGAGCCTTGCATTTCGTTTTCAAAGTGGGTGACAGAAGCAAAACGGCCACCTTTTACCGAGATGTGCTCGGCATGAAGGTACGTTTTCAGCTCTGTCGTAGAACATCCTCAAACATGTGGCCAATGGATTTCACTTGCACAGAATGTACCACTTTTTCAGTTATTTGTTATGATTGTGTTTCAATGTTGTTCATAGTGCTGTAAACTCGCGTGATATTGGGGACTAGATCACTGTTTTGCCAAAATGTCAAAATCATTTATTTAATTTCAGATTTTGCGTCACGAAGAGTTTGAAGAGGGATGCAAGGCCACTTGTAATGGGTAGGCAGGCTGTCAACTTTACTGTTCAACCAACACCTCTTGTGAAAAATAATTGTTAGATTTACTTGTTGTGTAACAATAGTCACTGTCTCTGTTTTGCTCTCTCTCATATGATGCCCTACTTGCTTGTGTGTGTGTTCAGCCCTTATGATGGAAAATGGAGCAAGACAATGGTCGGCTTTGGTCCAGAGGATGATCACTTTGTGGCTGAGCTGACCTACAATTATGGAGTGGGAGAATATCGCCTTGGTAATGACTTCCTGGTAAGTGAATGGTTATTCATGAACACTCAATATTTATATATTTTTTAACCTAATCTTAACTCATTGTATGCCACCATGTCTTTATTTCAGGGTCTGACTCTGCAGTCTAGCCAGGCTGTCAGCAATGCTAAGCGGCTTGGTTGGCCCCTCACTGAGGTTGGAGAGGCTCTCTATCTGGCTGAGGCCCCAGGAGGTTACCACTTCTACCTGGTGGACAAAGAACAGCCTCCCAATGGTGGGTCAACAGTGCTTTGCACAGAAGATCATTGCTGTAGTAGACTGTAAAGTAGAGTAGTAGACTATAGCCTACCATGTTTATTTTAAAGTCCAGGAGGAAATTAATTAACCTGGGTACCAGTCTGTTTGTGCCATCATGCCACTCCTTGTCATGCCATGTTTGGCTTGCATTGAGTAGGCAGGAGCACAAACGTATCTGGAACCAGTCTAGATATGAATACTCCTTACATCCAGGTAACTGCCAAAATAAAGGAAACACTAATATAAAGTGTCTTAATAGGGTGTTGGGTCGCCACCAGAACCGCTTCAATGCTCCTTGGCATATATTCTACAAGTGTCTGGAACTCTATTGAAGGGATGCGACACCATTCTTTCATGAGAAATTCCATCATTTGGTGTTTTGTTGATGGTGGTGGAAAACGCTGTCTCAGGCGCCACTCCAGAATCTCTCATAAATGTTCAATTGGATTGAGATCTGGTGACTGAGACACACATACCCTTTAAACCCCCTATGCTGCTTTGAGACCCCTCTTTCAAAGTCAGAGATCTCTCATTCTAGTCATGGTAGCCAAAAGAATGGGCAACTGGGCATTTTTATACATGACCCTAAGCATGATGGGATGTTAATTGCGTAATTAACTCAGAAACCACACCTGTGTGGAAGCACCTGCTTTCAATATACTTTGTATCCCTCATTTACTCAAGTGTTTCTTTTATTTTGGCAGTTGCCTGTATATTGTGAATGTGTATCTGTTTTTCACTTTGTTAAAGATCCTGTACAGAAGGTGTGTCTGGCAGTGTCTGACCTACAGAAATCAACACACTACTGGTCCTCCCTTCTGGGGATGAAGGTGATGGAGAGAAATGAGGAGAAGAAGACTGTGCTGATGGGATTCACAGACACTCAGGTGTGTGTGTGAGAGAGAGAGACTTGGTTCTACACCACAGGAGGTTGGTGGCACCTTAATTGGGTAGGACGGGCTCGTGGTAATGGCTGGAGCGGAATTAGTGGAATGGTATCAAATGCATCAAACAAATGGTTTCCATGTGGTTGATGCCATTCCGGCCATTATTATGAGCCATCCTCCCCTCAGCAGCCTCCTGTGTTCTACACTTAGAACACGACTGTGTGTTTGCATGAATTGATAAGATGGTGCTAATGCTAGGTGTGTGTGTTTTTCTGTATATTTGCAGTGTAAACTAGAGCTTCATAACATTGGTGGGACAGTAGATCATGGGACAGCCTTCGGGAGGATAGCATTCTCTTGTCCACGTGAGCAGGTGAAGTAATAGACCCTTTTCCAGTACACGACACACTGATGTCACGCGCAGATGCGCGCAACTCTTGGCGGCAGTAAGAAAGCCATCGCCGTCTGCGCCCATTCAACATAGCCTAGATTTTAAGTTTTTATTACTTCTAAACTAAATAACCTTTTTGGGTTCTCATATGCTTACAATTATGTTTTGATTCTAGCTTGAACAGTCGCTAAGATTATATTTGGTTGTGATCTTTGCAAAATAACTATTTTGGATGCAGCAGTTGTTAGCTAGAATGCTAACAATCATTTACATAGGCTGTAGGAAAAGCTAGCCAAAGAGCCATTTTACTGGTTGAAGTTTATTTTTTTAAAGTATGATACAGTTGATTTGCGATGACACAAACATATTAAACAGGACATTCATACGAGCCTTAAAATCCAATTAGAATCCAAAAGCAGTGTGAAATCACTCATTAGCAACATGTAAATAGAGGCTTTTTTTTTGCTGGTGTTCTATAAGAACTCCCCCTTGTTCTACCACCAACTTGCGCGCATCGCCCTCGTGCGGCAGTGTTTGCAAACACAGAAAGGGGTCTATACAATGCTTTACATTCTTAGTTGTTTTGCCCTACAGACTCTTTACATACATGAACACAGAAAGCAATATTAACCATTTTTGTTTAATTATTTTTAGTTGCCAGATCTTGAAGCCCTGATGACAAAAGAAAACCATAAAATCCTTACTCCCTTGGTTAGCCTGGACACCCCTGGGAAGGCTACAGTAGAAGTGGTCATTTTGGCTGATCCAGTGAGTGCATTACCAAATGATTAACATGGGTAAAATTGATTAATAATAAATTCTCCACATAATAACTGAGGTCATCTGTGGTCTAGGATGCCCATGAGATCTGCTTTGTGGGAGATGAGGCATTCAGACAACTCTCCCAGATGGACCCCAGTGGAAATGCATTGCTGGATAAGGTTGGTATTTAGAAATATTATGCAAATAAACCAATACTTTGCATTAGCACAGAGTACATAGTCTTAATCTATTACCCTAATTTATTTTCAGGCCATGGCTGAAGATAAAAGCGATGAGTGGTTTGCCAAGCACAACAAGCAGAAGGCTTCAGCATAAGTGCTTAGAACATAGCTGAGCTGTCATGGATCTACAGGACATTTCCAACCACTGGACCTGGATGTGTTTGTGAACACTCCAATAGAGGTGTAGAGCATGGGCTCTCTAATTGGCTGTACTTTTTGCCCCGTATATGGCATTACCCTTCTAGCTGCACTATGTCAGTAGATTTTACTCAACCAGAAGCATAATTTAGAGATGCTTAGGAGACTGAAAGTGTACCTGTACTTCAGTCATACTGTGGCAGAAGCTTGATGAACATGGACCACTTTTATATGAATCTTGTTCGTGTATGCAATGAAAACAATCGTGCCTGTTCAGCTCAATGAAATAAATAAAACACTGTAATAATTCGGACTTCATGAGAATAGTGAAGTGCAAGTGTATGGTAGAAAAGTAATTTCCATTTGAAATCCTCACACTGCACAAATTGTAGGTCAAGGTTTGTGAAATGTGCAGACACTGCAGGTTGAAAAACCAATGAAACAAGAGGGCATATGCATATCATGTGATGTTGAAGCTGTGTCATGCTCATTGAACTGTATCAAATGGGGAAATGAAAGTGAACTATATCAAAAGGGGATGACATGAACCTTTTCAAGATGGGAGAATTGCCTAACCTTTGCAAACAACTCCTACTATAATTTTCTAGTGATTCCCTTTTGGCATAAAGAGATGAATGACACTGAATAAGAAGTGACTGGTCCCTTATTGAACTAGCTGTTGAGTGGTTATGCATAATAAAGAGGGAGAAGCATATGAAATAATTGTTGAATAAACTTGTGTGCACTGATTGAAAAGATGAGTAAGTGCAATGTAGCTAGGCCAAGGCCATTTACGTGGGGCACAGAGAAGCTGGCCGATGGGCGTGAAGGGGGAGAGCCTCGTAAATGGCGTCCCTTGAGAAAGCAAGAAACAGATGTACGTCAGGAGAAGTGCAGTATTATCATAAGGAGACGTATACTTGGATGATGACGGAGGAATGGTGGGAAAAAGAGAGGCAGAGGAGGTCTAAGAGAGAGAGGGAGGAAGATTGTGAGCTTGAGTCGGTAAAAAATGGCGGGAGAAAGGGAGAAGGTTTGTTAAAGAAGAATGGTAGGAAATGTAAGCAAAGTGAGCTGAAGACAGGAGGAGAAATGGAAGTGAGGTGGTAGGTGTGGTGAAGTGCTCAGAGCCAGAGGCTTGCACAGAGGGGTCAGGATAAAGAGGAGTCTGTGACAGTAGGAGTGAAGTTTTTGGAAAAGGTGGACCCTTGCCTTTTGGCTGATCCATTTGTGGTTTCAGGATGGGTGAAAAAAGTGTTGGGTATAGTGGAATCGGTGAGGGTAACCAGAAGTGGTCTAGTGATAATTGTTTGTTTCTGTTGGTCAGAGGGAGAAGGCACTCAGAGTTAAACAAATGGGAGAAAGAATTGTGAATTGTTTCGCTCTCAAGAAAAGGGTGCCGTTGAAAGGAGTGATTACTGGGGTAGCAGTAAATGTAAAAGTTGACAAACTGAAGGGGAAGATTCCCGGTGTTTGTGATGCTCGTCGTTTGGTGCGACGCAAACAGGGTGGCGAGAGTGGGGAAACAGAAGAGTCATTGTCTGTTCTTTTGAGTTTTGAAGTTGAGTCTTTGCCTGACAAAGTGAAGTTAGGATAAATAAGTTATCCTGTACGAGCATATGTGCCGAATACATTACGATGTTACAGGTGTCAAACTTATGGGCATGTGGCAGCAGTGTGTAGGAGGGAGGTTCCAAGGTATGAGAAGTGTGCAGAAGGGCATGAAACAAAGGAATGTGTAGCATTGGGGAAAGTAGTGGTATGTGCTAATTGTAGGGGTGCCCATGGGGCTGGGGATCAGAAATGTCCTGTGCGAGAGAGGCAGGTTGAGGTTTCCAGGGTAAGAGTAGTGAAGAAGTTGTCATATGCTGAGGCAGTGAAGAAAGTAGAGGAAGATGGGTCAAGGGGGAGGAGTGGTGAGAGTAGTAGGTATGTACCAGTACAGAGGGATAGGCCAACAAGTGTTATATGTTTCAGTAAGATTGGATTTTTAGCATTTATATAAATGGTTATTAATTGTACTGCAGAGATGGAACGTAAGTCGAAGAAAATTGAGGTTAAGTCGAAGAAAATTGAGGTTGTGGTGGAAGCTGCAGAGAGGTATTTGGGAGTGGGAGACTTGACATCAGAAGAGTTACAGGGAGTGTTAAGTGGTGATGTCCCATCATTTTGTGGTGAGTGTAGTGTTAGAGGTAGGGTATTTCTTTATTTTATTTTTCAAGCAAAATATAAGGGAGTTGTACTCCAGTAGTAGGTGGCGGTAATGCAAACAAATTGGATGCCAACCGCCGTTAAACCTAATCAAAGAAGAAGAAGGAGTAGCTAGGCCAGAGAATCCAGAATGGGTTGAGTTTGAGGCGTTTCGAACTCCGGGTAGCAAATTTGTCGGCCATTTACATAATTACTTTTTGGTTTCTGCTCATCTGTTTACAGTTGTGGACAACAAACCTAGAAGATGATTGTGCTTTGCCACTGAAAATGTAAGGAGGATGAGAACCCTCCGGACGGGATAAGAACATTTGAGTGTGTCAGATTTTCAAGAGGTTGAAAAGGGGCTTATACTTGTTATCTAGCTACCAAGTTTGTCAACATTGGTTTAAATTGACGCTGTAGGCTACGTGGCTATTTAGCTAGCCAACTAACGTTACTAGCTAGCTAGTAACTGACCAGTGATATCTGACTATAGTTAGCTAGCTCGCTACTCGAAACTGTGAGCCAGTGCTACCTATCCATCTAGCCAACTAGCTATATCGGTTCCTTCAAACTGTTAACGCAATTTTTTGTGACAGTAACGTCGTTAGGTAGCGACGTTAGTTAGCATACTACACAGTCTGGCACTGAGAGCTTGCTAGAAAAGTGTAGCTATCAGATTTTCCAGACTAGACAAGACGTTAGCTAGCATATGTTATTTAATAGCTCTTGAATAGTGACATGCATGTACTTCAATCTTTAGCTAACAAGTCATAACGTCACATTAAGCTCGGGGCACCTGCATGACAGGTGTCTCCGGCCGGGCTCCGAAGAGGAGCTGAGCTGGCTATTAATTTCCCACCGTGTGGCATTGAAATCAAAAGAACCAGCCCCATGACCACACATTGGGTGTGAACGAGGGCGCAACATCAGGACAGAATGTCTCTCCTGCTGATCGTCTTACTAGCACTTCTCCTGCTCCTGATACTATCTGTTCTACTCTTCAGGTAAGAAAACATGCCTTAACATGGGGGAAGAACACTTTCACATAATATTCCTGTCCTATATAGCTTTCTTCTATTGCTAGAACAACTCTTGCCTATTCATAAAATAGTGCAGCTGTCCCCTTTTCCGAAAGTATCTATGCATACCTTTTAATTTGGAATACCTGACTCTGAAAATCACTATTCATGTGACTTGATAAATGGAGAGAACCCACTAAATGTTGTAATGGGAATTACTTGGGCTATCAGACAACTGAACTGCTGAAGCTTTGCTGCAAGAGTTGGCTAGAACAATGCCCTGTCTTTGTGCACAAACACAAGTGCCAGCCTGTCCTTTGATGGAACTCAATATGACAGGCAAGCACACAGCTCTGTTGATGGAGAAGTGAGAGACAAGATTAGTCATCGTTGATAGGTGGCACACTAATGATGGTAGCATCCCAAAATGACACCCTATTCCCTATGTAGTGCACTCCTTTTGACCCATATCAAAAGAAGTGCACTATGTAGGAAATGGTGCCATGTGGGACGCAGATGATAAGTGACTGTTCCATGTATAATTTCTTTATGACCGGTGACATTATAAAATCAGTTGACATGGTATGTTCTCTCTGCTTGTTTTCAGATGGTTCATATGCAGCCTGGCGGTACGGTTCTTCCACAACACACTGAACGCTGAGCTGAAGATCAAATCAGTGGGGCTTTTTTCAGTGTGTGGAATCAGTATCCAGTTTCAGCCCCAGCACACACTGGTAGGTGACACCGCTAAGAGGCTTTGTACACGACATTTACGCAGAGAGTGTGGCTTATGAAATGAAATGTATGGATGAGCATCTTTCCGATACATATCTAGCTAGGTACATGTGCTTCGATACCATACAGGAACGATACGTTTTAGTTTGAAACGATTCGGTTTGATTAGAGAACGAATCGATGCGATTTGGTTCGATGCGTTACGATTCAACGTATTAACATTAGTTGCATAAACACATTCATTTTCCATTCTAAATTCAAATCTGCTGCTGATGGGTGTAGATGGGTGACAAAAAATATATATTTATTCCATTTTGCATTCAGGATGTAACACAACAAAATTGGACTAAAAGCTCCAGCTGGTAGAGCACGGCGTTGTAACGCCAAGGTAGTGGGTTCGATCCCGGGACCACCCATACACAAAAATGTATGCAGAAGACTGTAAGTCGCTGTGGATAAAAGCGTCGGCTAATGGCGTATATAGTATTTATTATTACTTTTGAAGGAACTCCTGTATACGCAAATTTTGGATTTCACCTCCATCTCATAATCGAATGGTTTTGACCGTTTACGGAGTGATCTTCTCTTCTCGCTTCGGCCATGCAGTGCACCTCGCAAAAGTGATTGCTTCCCTTGTTATGAAATTATCAACTTTACCCTGTATATGTAAAAATACACTGATTTGTTTAAAGCAAAACTATTGCTGATGGTGAACCTGAACAATAAAATGTATTGTAAGCCCTATTCAGCAGGCAGTGGTGGTCAGTGCCGTTTAAGATGAGGGAGGACGATTCTTTTTTTAATGAGCATGGCCTTATTTCTATTACAGCATATTGTATGACTGTCATTCATATTCCATTCACCCAGTTCAATGTAACATCGATAGGTTTAGGCTACTACATGATACTATAATTTTTGCGGTTGCTACAACCTAACCTATGAATGAAAGTTTACAGCGTAGGTGCACATGTCGAGACAAAATGTAGAGTAATCAAGGTGACAGACATTGACATATTCAATACCACCTTGCACACTTGCCTGCATCTAGCTGATCTAAGATGTAATCATTAGTCCAGCAGTTGCAAACAAGAGTTTCTATTGGAACAATTAAAGTATGTTTATCACCGTTTTGTTCCGTTTGCTTCTGCCTAAGAAACAACACACACAAACAGCATGATTACTTTGCTCGTTGTAGCCTACATCGTTGTTACCATATTAGCTAATATCATAGTCAACATAGCTACTGGAACTAACGCGTTAGTAAACAGTCCCCTGTAGCTCAGTTGGTAGAGCATGGCGCTTGCAACGCCAGGGTTGTGGGTTCGTTTCCCACGGGGGGCAGTATGAAAATGAATGCACTCAGTAACTAAGTCACTCTGGATAAGAGCGTCTGCTAAATGACTAAAATGTAAATGTAAAATGTAAACCCGCTACAATCATGCAGTACATTGTACAGTCAGCAAACAGTTTAGCAGTTACATCGGCCGGCCCCGGTAGCAATACATTTATAAAACAAAAAGCTTACCTTGACTTGGAAGTGTTCCAGTGTTGGATAGCCATTGCCAGCTAGCTAACATATGATCCCTCTCTGTTTGAGCTGGGTGTTTTGAGTAGGCTAAACTAGCTAGCTGCATTCGCTAAGTAAGTGAAAGTGGGAAAAAAAATACAACGAAATATAGCTAGCTCTCTCTCTCGCTTCTTCATTTTTGAATAAATTAATTTGTTCAAAACTGTTCAACTATTGTCTTTCTCGCTCTCTGAGTCAAGTACTCACCACATTTTATGCACTGCAGTGCTAGCTAGCTGTAGCTTATACTTTCAGTACTAGATTAATTCTCTGATCCTTTAATTGGGTGGACAACATGTTAGTTCATGTTGCAAGCGCTCTGATAGGTTGGAGGACGTCCTCCGGAAGTTGTCATAATTACTATGGAAGTCTATGGAAGGGGGTGTGACCCATGAGCCTCCTAGGTTTTGTACTGAAGTCAATGTACCCAGAGGAGGACTGAAACTAGCTATCCTCCGGCTACACCATGGTGCTACCCTACAGAGTGCTGTTGAGGCTACTGTAGACATTCATTACAAAATAATGTTTTTTAATCAATTATTTGGTGATGTGAATATATTTAGTATAGTTTTATCTAAACATTTTATCTAAAAAATCCTCATCAGTGAAATTCACTGAGGATGGGCCTCCCCTTCATCCTCTGAGGAGCCTCCACTGTCAGCAGGTATAGCCAGATGAGCGTTGTCACTTTAATAACTCTACCTACAAGTACATATTACATTTACATTTTAGTCATTTAGTAGACGCTCTTATCCAGAGCGACTTACAGATAGTGAGTGCATAAATTTTTTCATACTGGCCCCCCGTGGGAAACGAACCCACAACCCTGGCGTTGCAAGCGCCATGCTCTACCATTACTCGACTAACCTGTGCCCCCGCACTTTGACTCGGTACCGGTACCCCCTGTATATATCCTCGCTATTGTTATTTTTACTGCTGCTCTTTAATTATTTGTTACTTTTATTTCCTATTATTTTAGATTGTATTTTTTTGATTATTTTTTGGGGAATTCTTTCTTAACTGCATTGTTGGTTAAAGGCTTGTAAGTAAGCATTTCACTGTAAGGTCTACACCTGTTGTATTCGGCGCATGTGACAAATAAAATTCTCTGGTAGTTTACTATTATTCAGGTAAAACACTATTTTCAACAGCGCATAGATAACAATAATCTAGCGAATTACTTAGGTAATAAACTAATAAAGACTATCACTCAAGCCATTTTAGCATTTGAATGCCAAAGGTGACACACAGATGTGCAAGATCAGGAACAGGCCACCTACCCAGTGTTCCCAACAATTTTTCAGTGAGAATCGCTATTGGCTCCTTCATTTGTCGCTAGATTACGTTTTGCCGTTACCGCGAGGACTTCACAGCTCCAATTTGCCTTGCTGCGGCACAGATGCGGTCGCCCTCTCCAGCCCCCCCCCCAGCTAAATTGGCAACACCGTGCCTACCTCACGTTGTTCAACGTGCGAAGCTGGGCACAGTTCTCAGTTTGACAAGGCTACTGATATTGCCTGGGGTTGTTCGGCATGCAAAATCACTTGCAGATCAATGACTCACAGATCAATGACTCAACACAGTTACATGCAGTTGACGCTTAAGGAGCGGAAGCATCAGTTGTCACAATATGAGAGGTATTTTCGGAAGGTAGAAGAAATGTAATATGAGCAAAACATTTTTGTGAACCGGCGATTTGTAACGTTTGTATCGATTTTCTGACTGCTGCATGGTACATTTGGATCGGTTTGGGGTCCGTGTACTGATGCACTTGCATTTTAAACATTTGAATCTGGGACCGATGCATCTCCCCGAATTGTTACATCCCTAGAAATAATTTTTCTCTGTTTTCATTGGGAAGGGTATTTATTTGTGTATTGTCTCTAAGTCACACAATGTAGATTAAACACTTTTTCAACTCGTAAGACTACAATTGAGTTGTAAAACAGGTGCATTTCTCCTTGTTTTTATTGCAGGAAATAGACAGGATATGGATTTCAAGCAAACTTTTAAACCAGAACCTGCCGTGAGTGTTTTAAAGACATGTTTATACAATCTTATACCCTCATAATATCTCATAACTTAATTGCATATCTCTCAGGCATCTTGGCCTTTAAGGGAAAGGGCCTGTGAATCATTCAACAATACAAGGTTTTGAACTCTGGGTTTTTTTCTCAGGAGGTGCCTGGCGTTGTGTGTGGGCGAGACCAGAGTGAGAGTGGATCTGCAGCAGCCTCTAAGACCTCGGGCGCCTAAGAGCCGTGATGGAGGAGAGTCAGGGAAGGTTCCCCTTAGCCCCGCAGCCCTGCGGTTCCTCTCCCAGGTAGGGACCAACACGCATCTGTTCACATAAGAATGCTACTCATTAAATTATTCATGAAAAACAGTGCTCTCAGCTCACTTAACTGCTGTCTCTCTGCTCTCAGTTGCTGTCCTTCCATATTGACTCCATCAACGTGATGGTGCTAAACCTAGCCCTGTCAGAGTCTCTATGGCACATGACCACCTCAAGTATCGACCTACTGCTCGACCACCAGGGCAAAAGGTTTTAAACCTCCACACACACTAACTTCATCTAAACAGATCATGCTTTTTAGCTTAGCCTGACTATTTAAATGTTCATAACAATTTCTCAAACTTTCATAACAGGTTGGCCTGGGACTTTTCTGTGGGGCAGCTAAGCAGTAAAGTGCTTAAAAGCAGTCGATTAGTAAGTGGAGTTTCTTCCCATATAAACATAGCAATCTTTTGCTTGTCTCTCTTTAAAGAAGAGTTACTACACAATGTATTTCACTGCATTGTCCCAACTCACTGCTCAGCAGGATACATGTCTGGCGGAGGTGTCCTTGAGCCTGGTGCTGTCTGGGGATGTCAGCCTGCCAGAGGTGCGTCCAGGTCGACTGGCCCTGTGTGTGAGAACACTGCTGGCTGAGCTGCACGAGGGCCTGTTTCTCAGTCAGCTACTGCTTCCACCAATTCCTCTGGCGAGCATTCTCTCTGCAGACGGTGAGAAAGTGCAAAGGGTTGTGTCCCAATGGCACCCTATTCCCTATATAGTGCACTACTTTTAACAAGGATGGCACCCTATTCCCTTCATAGTCCACTACTTTAGGGAAAAGTGTGTCATTTGAGACGCAGACGTGGTGTTGTTGTATGGCTGTTGTGAGGTGATATTGAGAACCATTCGGCGATGCATTATTCACAACCATTTCTCTCTGTTGTCATTTTGTTCTAGAATGTGAAAAGGACGAGTATATCCAGACTGAAGCAGTGGACCAGTTTCATCAGCTGGTGCCCCAGAAGGTCAACATGGAGTTTGAGAATACTAGTATAACCCTGTCCATGCACAGCCAGAAAAGGTGAGTCATAGGGCACAGAGTTGGTATGAATCATATTTTTTGTTTTTGTTATTACAAAAAAAGGCACACTGTCATTTTGTTCTTCCTCTGACTGTATATCTGAATCATCCAGACACTTGAACTGGACCCTAAAGTCTCTAAAGGTGGGATACGGACGTGAGGACGAGCAGCTGCCCCTCAGGAGCTTCACCCCTGAGATGAGCTTCCCTCAGAGCAGCCTGGAGCTACTTCTGGAGGGTGAGTGGAGAGCTGGGCACTGGGCACCAGAAAGATGTGCGTCTCAAATGACAATCTATTCCCTACATGGTGCACTATATAGGGAATAGGTTGCCGTTTAGGATGTAGCCATAGAGGAGGGAAAGGGAGGGTCTGGGAGGGAGGAAAATAACCATTCCTTGTTTTTGTATCAACAGATGGGCTTCTCCTCTCCCAGAGCAGACAGAGAATCCTTTGCCTTAACACCCTCAGGACTGTCCTGCAGGTGAGTGGTGTGCTTCGGATTTGATTGATACGGTTACTAGTTTTCATAGTTGCACTGCATCATCAAAGCTCTTTGCAAATATGCTTGACATTTGACCTCTTGTAAGAAATAAGTTTGATCTGAAGTCTCTTGCTCATCTCCCACTCATGCCCCAGGTGACATCAGTGGACATTTCAGGGTCAGTCACAGTCAACACCTGCATCATCCACTACCGTCACCAGGAGTTCTCCCATTGGCTAGACCTGTTTCCATGGAAACAGCTTATTCATAGGAAAGCAGCTCATAGAAAGAGGTATGAGCATTTTCAACTGACAAACCAGGCAGGAGAATGTCAAGCACACCAGTTGATTGCTTGAAACGGATGTAAAGACAATATCCAACAACATACATTACTAACCTGGCCCTATAGCATGGTTTCATTTGATTTTGAGCCCAACTGAAAACAACTAACACTCTAATCTTCTCCTGTCTTCATCCTCATGTTTCTGTTGTATCTGGTGGTATATTGTGGTGTGGTGTGTAGTCCAGTGGAGTATTTGCATACCCTCCCGTCCTACAGGAACTTCCCCCACCTGGACGCCCCAGTGATGATCGGCTCCTCGGTGTCCAATGTCAACGTGTCTGTCCAGCTGGGAGACACTCCTCCCTTTGCCCTGGGCTTCATCTCAGTCAGCACAGGTACAACACACATACTCACACAGGGCATGGTCAAAATATACTCCCGTTGCATTAAAGGTCAAGAATATGTTGTTGTGGGAACACAAAGTTTAGTCTTGCCTGGAGAGGAATGACAGGAATGCTAATGGACAGCAGTGGGTATTTTTCTTCAGTTCATTCTGCTTTCAACATTGCAGCAGTTTCAGGAGATGAATCATGGTACTTGACGTGCTGTAGCTGTTGAATCAACCCTTTCCAAACATAACATGCCCTGATAGATTAGATTAGTCATCATAAGTGTTTTTGTAAGGCACAGTTAGCTTTTGCCACTCTGTAACATATTAAATACAATTACTTTATTCCTGTATATATGGGAATTAAATGCAATATCCTTTTACACCACGGGAATCATCACACACCTATACATAGTGAGTAGAGTTAGAGTTGCATCCCAAAATGTAGTAATGTGATTTGTGATATTCAGTAGATCTGAATATGTAATGTATAATGTAGAGATGCAGCACCTCCTGGACATCAGCACAAACGCAGAGAGCCTCAAGTTCCAGAATGTTCACCGCCGCCTCTCTCTGTCCCTGGACCACTTCTGGTGGAGGGTGGGCCAGGGCTCCCACATCCAGCAGGCACCCCACCCCCCTGGCAAACACGTGTGGGGGGAAGCACTCATCCTGGACTCCCTTACACTGCAGGTAACGCAGGCATACAACAAGGTAGGCATTAGCTATTTAGGGTTACTCACTAACTACTACTCCCTATGGTTTCCCCTGGGTTCCAATGATGTGATGAAGAACATCAGAATCAGGCTACAGGAAATCATTTTCTGAAATTACACTCTATTCATAAATCATTGAAATTGACCATCCTCTAAACTAATACCCTACTTTCCCTCATTTCCTGTATTGACCTGATGATCACAGCCATGATTAGTATTTGACTAATACTACACCAGACATTGTTGTCTTTGCTGTCCCTGTCTCCCCAGGGGAGCTTCAACAAGCCCCAGAGTGAGTCCAGTAGCCATTCTGAGAGTGTGAGTGTGGAGTCCAGTCTGAAGGGCCTACAGCTGGAGGTGTCAGAGACCTGTGCCCTGTGCCTGTCCCGCCTACTGGCCCTCTGTAACCTGGACAACGGCAGGAAGCTGGAGGCCTCGGAGCAGCCAGATGTGGTGCCTGTACCTGCCCTTGTTGATGGGATAACCTCCCCCAGTCAGGGTGCCTTTTATTTTAAGATTGAGTGTAACCTGGAGGATGTCAATGTGTTCACACTCTCCAATGTAGCAGGTAAGTTAAAGGGGAAGTGTTATTTAGGGTGCGTCCCAAATGGCACCCATCTCCTATATAGTTCACTACTTTTGACCAGAGCCCTATGGCCCCTGGTCAAAATTAGTGCACTATATAGGGAATAGGGTGCCATTTTGGATGGATCCTTAATCTCCATCTCTGACAAGGCCTACATTCTGTATGGTAACTGGCTCCTGTGTGGTGTTAGGAGCCGTGTCTTTGCGGGTGGACACAGTGAAGGCCCAAGGCTCGGCGGAAAGCTCCACAGTGTCTGTCCAGGGTGTGTGTCTGTCTGTAGTGAAGGCTCTCACAGAGACCATGGAGCCCTGCTGTCCCTCAGCCCAAACCCCCAACCCTGTCCTCAGCCTCTCCACCCTGGCCATCTGCTACCACGTCACCACCGGGAACGTGGAGGTAGGTTACAGTTACTCATCCTGCCGTCAGTCCGTCAGGCCTATTCCTTCTTCTTGATTGACAGTGTTATTCAGATAAGTTCACGTGCATTGTCCTCTTCCCTTGTGCAGGTCCAGTGTCAAGAGGAGCTGGCAGTGCAATGGACGCCGTCAGACCACATGTTTTTGTATCACCACGCGACAGAGAGCCAGGGTTGCTGGGATACTCTGTGTGACTCTCTAGGCCTGACAGAGAAAAGAGAGGACAATAGTTTAGCAGATTCATCAGAGTGTGGATCTACTAAGACTTCTCCAGCCCACAGTAGGGTCAAAGACCTGTCTGTGCGTGTAGAACTGGGCAGAACCCGCTTCACAGCCCAGGTGACGGAGCTCAACTACCTCCTGCTGCACACAGACGCCCTGTCCCTCTCCACACACTCCGGCTCCATGAACGTCCGCTCGCCACACATGTTTCTCAACTTCGACGGCAACGACATTTTCTCCTTCAAGGACCTGGAAGTCCAGACGCACCCTGATCAGGCCCTGGACCAACGCCACTTCTTCCCCTTCCTCTCCACCCGACACAACCGTGCCTGGGTGTTCACCTGCCCCTGCCTAGCTGTGGAGTTTCCCCTACCAGTACAACTTCTCCAACACCTTTGACAAGTTCATCAGCGTTCAGAAGTGGCTCAAGTCCCTGCACAGCAGCCCCAGCCAGACCGCAGACCCCCAGCGTCTGCCCCCAGACCTGGTCTTCAAGATCAGCCAGTTCTCCTTCGTCTTCCTGGACGATGTGTTTGAGATCAAGCTGAGGGACAACTATGAGCTGATGAAGGACGAGAGCAAGGAGAGCTCCAAGAGGCTCCAGCTGCTGGACAAGAAGGTGGCTGACCTACGAAAGCAGCACGGAGAACTGTTGCCCGCCAGGAAGATAGAAGAGCTATATACGTCTCTGGAGCGCAAACACATAGAGATCTACATCCAGCGCTCCCGTCGCCTCTACTCCAACACGCCCATGAGGAAGTCTCTGCTGACCTGGACGGTGTCCGACTTGGAGCTGGTGGCTCTGGCCGACCAGTCCCTCCACGGGCTGGAACGCGTCCGCGAGCAGCTGAGGGACATCGACGGAGTCAGCCCCTTCCCCAGAGATGGACTCCCCCTGGTGGTCCAGTGGTGCCGGGCAGTCAAGTTCAACCTCACTGCCTTCCTGGGTGAGTGATGGGATTATGTCCCAAATGGTGCCCTATTGCCTTTTTATAGTCCACTACATTTGACCATACCTTAATTATTTCTATGAATATTGATAATATTATATTTATACTTTAATTATTTCTCCCCCTGTGCCAGTGAGAATCCGGGACTATCCTCGTTACTTGTTTGAGATCCGAGACTGGGAGCTGTCAGGCCGCCTGATCGGGACAGAGCAGGACGGGCAGGGCCGGGCTCGCCGCAGGCAGACAGTGCCACTAGGCCAGCCATGGGGAGATGTAACTGTCTACAGGAACATGCCACCACTCAAGTTCTACTGCGATTTCAAATGTGAGTCAAGTGTTTCAATGAAGCGCGATCCTCTATTTTTGTGATGAACATTTGTGTTTATTTTCAACAATAGACACATAGCGGTCAATCACATAACTTTATATGAATCTGGATTTGTTAGTTTAATGTAGTGTTATCTAATCTCTAAACATATACTGCCAGTTGTGCTAATTCAACTTATTTTCCCATCTCCTCTTCTCTCCATGCAGCCAATATATCCTTGTACACTATAGTGTGGGGGCCTTGCTGGGACCCAGCCTGGACCCTGATTGGCCAGGTGGTTGATCTGCTGACTAAACCCACGGTTGACCCCTCCCCTCCTCTGGCCTGGTGGGACAAGAGTCGTCTGCTGGTACATGGACGCTGGATCATGGACATAGAACAGGCCAACCTCCATCAGCTGGCCACGGAGGTTAACACACAGTCTGATCAACACTTCTTAGCCACTTACTGTATATGGAAAATGTGTTGGCCTGAGAATTAGGACTAGCAGCAATTGTGTTTGACATAATTTTGCTATTTTGTAGGACCCCTATAACACTACAGAGAACATGCACTGGGAATGGATCAAAGTAAACTACGAGTGGAACCCTGGGCAGTTTGTCTTCAAAGGTGACATGGATGTCAACGTCAGGACAGCCTCCAAGTAGGTGGCAGACCGAAATCTGGCTTTCAAATATCAGAGAGATTCTGGAACCAGCTTCACCTGTGAAACATTTAGAATTTCATGTTTTGGGAAATTGTTCAGAATTAGTGATTTTTGTTGTTGTTGCTTTCTTTTCTTTTTTTTTTGTTCTTCTCAGGTATGACGACATCTGTTTCCTGCACCTGCCAAATCTGTGCATGACCCTTGACCTCCAGTGGCTTTGTCATGGCAACCCCCATGACCATCACGCTGTAATGCTCTGCTGTGCAGAGAACGTAGCTGATGTGACCTCAGGACAACCTCACGACTCCTTCAGAGCCTTCCGCTCAGAGAACCTCAACCTCTCCATCACCATGGACCTCAACCAACACTGTGGCACAGGTGAGGCGATTGTCCGGTTACCTTGTGATAGCTGTGTGGCTTGGCTTTTTTCCAGGTTCACTGAGGAATTCTCCACAGAGGCTGCATCCCAAATGGCACCCTGTTCCCTATATAGTGCACAAATTATGATCAGCGCCCGTAGGTTCCCTCAGTCAGGCTCTTAGTCAAATAAGTAATGGAGGTAATAGTGTCATTTGGGACACAGTGTACACTTGTTAAATCAAGTGTATGTATTTAGCTTGGATGCAATAGTCAAGACGAATAATCAAACAATCATTAGCTCTGATGTTGACTGTCTCTTTATTTCTGTCTCTCAGAGCCGTGCCAGCCCAGAATCCTCCTGTACAGCAGTACCCTGCGCTGGATGCAGAACTTCTGGGCCACCTGGACCAGCGTTTCCAGACCCATCTGCAGAGGCAAGCTCTTCCACAGCCTCAGGCCCATACGAAAGAAGCTGGGCCAGCACTACAAACAGATGTCCTATACAGCAGCCTTTCCTCAACTACAAGTGAGTAAATCACCAACACTATGGTTGTGTCCCAAATGGCACCCTATTTCCTTTATAGTGCAATAGTTTGACCAGTAGTAGTGCACTATATAGGGAATAGGGTGCTATTTGGGACTCATCCACTCACTGCTAATGTTCAGCCTACATCCCAAGAACAAAGCAGACAAAGCTTTGTCAATATAGGATAAAATTGCAATTTTAAAGACATCAGTCTTTCTGCTTATATGATCTCTTATTACTGATTCCATGTTTTCAGAGAGCACTGTCCCTTGCATGTTCTTTTTACCTCCTATGAGCGCTAACATTTGAGATTTGACCTTTGACCTTGTGTCTCCTGCCCAGGTGCATTACTGGGCCTCTTTCGCTCAGCAGAGGGGCATCCAGGTGGAGTGCAGCAAAGGCCACGTCTTCACCAGAGGGGCTCAGAGACTCATCCCACAGGGTAAGAAGAGGGGGCACAACACAATGGTCTTATTGGTATTTATTTTATTGGTTGCATCTCAAATGACAGCCTGCCTGTTGGTCTAACCCCGACTGTGTGTGTGTCGTCTGTCTCTCTGTCCGTCTGTCTGTTCTCTCAGCGGGCACGGTGATGAGGAGGCTGATCTCAGAGTGGAACGTGACCCAGATGGTGTCGGAGTTGTCCCTGATGACGGTGCACCTCATGGCCTCCACCTGGGATGAGACGGCCGACCACCAGATCAATGCCCAGGTGAAGAAGACCCACCTGCTCGGCCTGTCCTCCCTCAGTTACCAGCGCCAGAGCAACCGCATGGAGGAGGTAAGACAACGGGGAGGGGATGGTAGACACCCCAAAGTTGATGGCACAGGTTGCGTCTCCATTTGCACCCTATTCACTATGTCGTTCACTGCTTTTGACCAGGGCCAATAGGGCGCAAGTTGGGACACACACAGTAGCTTCTTAACCATTGTAGTGAGATTTAAATTAATTATATTTGTTCTGGCTCTGTGTCTCAACCCTTGATTTGTAGTTCTCCAGTCAAAAGGTGTAGCTAGATCTCTTTTAAAAACGTGATGCATATTAATGGTGTTTCTCATTGTGACAGGAGGTGAACCCAAAAGATGAGGCGAATGCCCCCTACACCCACAAGCTGTGCCTGGTTGACCTGCGAGCCTCCTGGACCACCACTAACAGGAACATAGCGTTCGGTCTGTACGACGGCTACAAGAAGGCAGCCGTTCTCAAGAGGAACCTCTCCACAGAGGCTCTGAAGGGCCTGAGGATAGACACTACACTGCAAGCTGCCAAGAAGCACAAGCGCTCTTTGTCCAACTACTCCGGCGGCCCCAGCACAGCCCCCTCCACCTCAACCATGCCCAGCACCAGCCGCCCTGAGAAGAGCCATCACGAAGGTAGGATGTTTCCCCTGGAGTAACTGAAGTGCAACCTAACTTATTGTGAATGAATGCTATTTTATATGATTTTCTTTTTAAATATATATTTTTCAGAGCTTTACAGATTTTATTGAACAGATTGTGAAAGAGGATGACAGTGGGGGAAGGCCGCCAGGCCGGTTTCGAACCCATGTCAACACTGTAGATACACTATACATGTGGACACCCCTTTAAATGAGTGGTTTCGGCTATTTCAGCCACACCGTTGCTGACAGGTGTATAGAATCAAGCACACCACCATGTAATCTCCATAGACAAACATTGGCAGTAGAATGGTCTTACTGAAGAGCTCAGTGACTTTCAACGTGGCACCGTCATAGGATGCCACCTTTCCAACAAGTCAGTTTGTCAAATTTCTGCCCTGCTAGAGCTGCCCCGGTCAACTGTAAGTGCTGTTATTGTGAAGTGGAAACGTCTAGGAGCAACAACAGCTCAGCCGCGAAGTGGTAGGCCACACAAGCTCACAGAACGGGACCGCTGAAGCGTGTAGCGTGTAAAAATCGTCTGTCCTCGGTTGCAACACTCACTACCGAGTTCCAAACTGCCTCTGGAAGCAACTTCAACACAATAACTGTTCGTGCGACTCTGGGTTTGGGGGATGCTCGAAGAACGCTACCAGCCCCAATGCATAGTGCCAACTGTAAAGTTTGGTGGAGGAGGAATAATGGTCTGGGGTTGCTTTTCATGGTTCGGTCTAGGCCCCTTAGTTTCAGTGAAGGGAAATCTTAACGCTACAGCATACAATGACATTCTAGACGATTCTGTGCTTCCAACTTTGTGGCAACAGTTTGGGGAAGGGCCTTTCCTGTTTCAGCATGACAATGCCCCTGTGCACAAAGCGAGGTCCATACAGAAATGGTTTGTTGAGATCGGTATTGGAAGAACTTGACTGGTCTGCGCAGAGCCCTGACCTCAACCTCATCGAACGCCTTTGGGATGAATTGGAACGCCGACTGCGAGCCAAGCCTAATCGCCCAACATCAGTGCCCAACCTCACTAATGCTCTTGTGGCTGAATGGAAGCAGGTCCCAGCAGCTATGTTCCAACATCTAGTGGAAAGCCTTCCCAGAAGAGGATGCTGTTATAGCAGCAAAGGGGGGACCAACTCCATATTAATGCCCGTGATTTTGGAATGAGATGTTCGACGAGCAGGTGTCCACATACTTTTGGTCATGAAGTGTATGTATGCCAGAGGCTGCAACATTACTGCTAGACCAGCCAGTCCACATGAAGGGTCTTTCAATATGAGAATTTACTGACTCTGTTTCTTCAATTTCCTTCCTCCTCTCTGCAGGGACGTCCATGCTGCAGAAGCTGATTGAGGAGACTGATAAGTTTGTGGTGTTCTCAGAGGAGGACTCTGGTGTGAGTGATCAGCTGTGTGGCATCGCTGCCTGCCAGACAGACGACGTCTACAACCGCAACTGGTTCATCGAGCTGGTCAACTGTCAGGTACAACGGACCACTAGTCTGGGAGTTTAGGTTCATGGCAAATCAGATTACGATTGTAAAGCGCGGTGGGCCAGGCAAATCAGATTAAGATTGTAAAGCGCGGTGGGCCAATCACACTTTTATTTGCCCCCAAAGGTAACAATTATGTTTGCTAACAGGACCTTAATGGACATAGACAAATATTGAAGGAATGTTCTGCGTTTCAATCTTTTCGGATCCTTAGCAATACAGAAAACCAAATCCTTAGCAATACAGAAAACAGAATCCTTAGCAATACAGAAAACCGAATCCTTAGCAATACAGAAAACAGAACTTGTTCTATTTTTAGCAACTTCTAATTTAAAATGTTCTGCCAGTCATTTATTTAGCATGTGACACTCCAGTCTCCAGGGTTATAATCCTGCTCTGCTGTCTGTCTGTAGATGATGCTGCGTGGCACAGAGACAGCTGGCTGCGTGCTGGTGTCTGCTGCCAAGGCCCAGCTGCTGCAGTGTGAGCACCACCCGGCCTGGTACAGCGACACCCTCAAGCAGAAGACAACCTGGACTTGTCTGCTGGATGGCATGCAGTACTTTGCCACCATGGAGCCCAACCCCTCAGAACAGGAGGACTGGCAGCTGTGGCTTGAGGTGGGCCATTGAAACCATTATTAACAGGGTCTTAAAAAATTTCCTGGTTGCTAAAATTCTAATAGTTCGCCTAATTTCAGTTTGTGACAAAGCAAGCAAGTACATTTACATTTTACATTTTAGCTATTTAACAGACGCTCTTATCCACGTGTGTGCATACATTTTCATACTGGCCCCCCGTGGGATACGAACCCACAACCCTGGCGTTGCAAGTGCCATGCTCTACCAACTGAGCTACAGGGGACTATTATTGTGTAGATAATCATTGTACCATCTAAACCATTGTGAAATATCTTTTCCATAACCAAAAATATTGTATTTTCAGCTGTTTGGAGCTGGTGTAAAAAAAAAAGAAAAAAAAGAAGTCAGACACAAAAACGAAACTTAAGAAAAGGAAGCATAGAAATAGTGCACATAGAACAAACTACCGCTTCTTAGACTTGCTTTCTATGAGAGTGACAGATCTATAACTCTCATATTTTATGTGAATTTGGTCGGGTCGGCCAAAAAGTTACATTGCAGCTTTAACAAGAACTACCATAAATGATCATCTGAAGCATTGAATGGTGATGTGTTGTGCATGGCTCATGGCTTACATTCAGGCTCAAGTCCAAGTTGCATAACAGAGAGTGGATTTCTGCAGTTAGCCTTTCAGGTTCAGGGTGCTGTCACAGCTTTGACCGTGTGTCTTTGCCTTGGTTGTGCATGGTGCGTCTGCAGGTGAAAAACATTGAGGAGCACAGGCAGCGTCACCTGGACTCAGTGCTGGAGCTGATGGAGAGTGGCCAGGCTGTTGGAGGCATGGTCAGCACCACCACAGGTACTGCTGCTCCTCACACATACTCTACTTCATAGAATGCACTATGTTTAAACCCTGGCCCTACAAAGCTGAACATCTCATCTTGATTTGAATCTTTCCTTAAAGGGGAATTCCTCATATTCATTATCTCCAGCACCATGCCAGTGTCTACATATGTGTAAACTGCACATTTCTATGTTCTATAGTTAAAAAGGTCCTAGGAAAGTACCACGATGATAATTAAAATTAGGTTAAGTGGTGGAATTACCCTTTTAACTTGTGTCAAGGTAAATGTAACACTTCCTCTCTGTGAATCCAGACTGGAACCAGCCGGCCCAGGTGAATGACACCCAGCAGGTCCAGCGTATCATCTCTCGTTGCAGCTGTCGCATGTACTACATCGGCTACAGCCACGACATCGACCCTGAGCTGGCCACGCAGATCAAACCCCCAGAGCTACGGCGCAACGAGAAGGAAGACCTTCTGAAAAAACAAGCTGGTAAGCCAACCCATAGAGCTCATATATGCACTGTTTTATATCATATTTTTAAAAAATTCCCTGAATTTAATCATGTTGTTTGGATGCTAAAATCCATTCTAATGTTCTACTTTATTTTGTGAGGCAACTGACATCCTCAAATACAATGTCAGAACATGCTGACAATCTTGCTGTGTTGTTATTGAGTGTAAAGGCTTGAGCCCTTGAACTTGGTGTCTTCCCCCCCACTGCACTCTCAGGGGCTGTGGACACCTTCACCCTCATTCACCATGACCTGGAGATCTCCACCAACCCTGTGCAGTATGCTATGATCCTGGACATCGTCAACAACCTACTGCTGCACGTTGAGCCCAAACGCAAGGTAACGAGATGCCTCAACATCATCTGACTAGGCAGTGTTTTGTCCTATAGCATTTGCAACTGTATACGGGGAGAATCCTAACTTCCACTTAAATTTAATGTTCACTTAGTCATGCATTGAGCTCAATGGGAGCCTAAGTGAACATTTTACTCGAGTGGAAGTTCGGATTCACCCCTACTGTATGATAGCTGAAGTCTCTGCACTGTACAAGTCCCTCATGCGTCCCAAATGGCATGATATTCCCTATGTAGTGCATTACTTTTGACCAGGGCTCTAAATAGGAAAAAGAGGGAATAGGGTGCCATTTGGGATGCCTCCTGTCTTACCCTCTGACCATGTTGTGTGTGGGGGGTCTGTCCCCAGGAGCACAGTGAGAAGAAGCAGCGAGTGCGTTTCCAGCTGGAGATCTCCAGTAACCCAGAGGAGCAGCGCAGCAGCATTCTACACCTGCAGGAGGCCGTCAGGCAGCACGTGGCCCAGATCAGACGCTTGGAGAAACAGATCTACTCCAATATCAGGGTGAGCCATTGGACAGACTGACACACACTCTGGCTGATTTCAGCACTGTTACTTGTGAGGTGAAAACCAAAGGTGAAGGTAATTCCTCTGGGAGGGACAATGGTTGTATTCAATCTAGTTTACTTTATTTCAATTATAATCTAGAGGGGGAATAAAACACATCCCTGAGTTATGAACCCCAAAGCACTGAAATATCTACTTGGTAAGTGTGTATTTGACCTGTGTGGTGTGTGACCTCCCCCAGGCCCAGCCTGAGGAGCTGAGAGGAGATGAGCTGTCAGAGATCAACGTGAGGCTGCAGAACCAGCTCAACCAGGAGAAGACTGACATGCAGATGAAGAGTGAGGAGCTCAACATCCTCATCAGGTCAGCCCAACACCGCCACACACACACCATTCAATGCCTAGTCAAACTACCCAACACTGCCACACACACCATCTTTTCAATGCCTAGGAAAACTACTCGGCCAACCATGGGAAGTTCTGAGATACTTCCTAAGATTACTGACTCATCCTATCCTGTGTTCTTCCCTGTATGTCTCTCTCTGCTCCCAGATGTTTTAAAGACTTCCAGCTGCAGAGGGCCAATAAGCTGGAGCTGCGTAAGCCCCCGGAGGACGTGAGTGTGGTTCGCAGGACAGAGATCTGCTTTGCCCAGGCCCGCTGGTGTCTCACTGAGGAGGATGGACAGCTGGGCATCGCTGAGCTGGAGCTGCAGAGGTTCATGTACAGCAAGGTGGGTGGGCAAGGGGCAGGGAGGACACTGCTGCTCTGTCCTAGGGGCAGGGAGGACACTGCTGCTCTGTCCTAGGGGCAGGGAGGACACTGCTGCTCTGTCCTAGGGGCAGGGAGGACACTGCTGCTCTGTCCTAGGGGCAGGGAGGACACTGCTGCTCTGTCCTAACAAGGAGATGACCCTAACTCTTTTGATACTGTGCTTCGGCTAGAGAGCTGGGCCCATATTCACAGAAAGTCTCAGATTAGGAGTGCTGAAATAAGATCAGTTTTGCCTTTTAAGATAATAATGAATAAGATTATATGGATAGGGGGTACCTGATCCTACATTAGTACTCCTACTCTGAGATGCTTTATGAATGCGAGCCCTGATGTTGACGCTAAACATCTGTTAAACTGTCTCCTCCCACAGCTGAACAAGTCAGACGACACAGCAGAGCATCTCCTGGAACTGGGCTGGTTCACCATGAACAACCTGCTCCCCAACGCTGCATACAAGGTTAGGAAATAGTGCTCATCTCTGATCTTTTCTTTGGTAAGGGCAGTCTGTAGCTCAATCCGTGTATCCTTTGGATACATTTTTACAGCCAGTAGAGCTATGCATCTGTGGAGCTTACAAATATTGCCTCTAAAGGGGATCTCTGATAGGACAAGTCTTTTCTGTTGAGTCTTTGCAATCTTTTGTCAGAAACAATAAGTTTCCATCTCCTGCTGTTACTGATCCAATGATTCCAGGTCATGTTGCACCCAACATGTTGTGCTCACAAAGACCTCTAAAGCAGTGTTTGCTTGTGTTGATAACTCTACTTGGTTTCCTCTGTGCAGCACGTGAGGGTATGTATGGGGCTGGTACAGTAACTGGGAGTTCATGTCACTGTTGTTGACGCCATACTGCTCAATCATCCAGTCAGCATCACTGAAATCACCCTCAGAATATTATGCATGTGTCCCAAATGGCACCCTATTCCCTATATAGTGCACTACTTTTGACCAGAGTCCTATGGGCCTTGGTCAATAGGAGTGCATTATTCATGGGATAGGGTACCATTTGGGACACAGGCTTTGTTATTCAGCATTGCATGTCCACCATGGGACTGGCTCACTCCAACGCCCACCTCCACAGTCCCTCCTCTTATTGCGTGCTCCTCATTGCATTTGCACCGTCATCTGAATGCTGTACGGTACCATGCCTTACGTCGCTGTGTGAGTCGTGTTTGTTTTCCAAATGTTTTCCTGTTCAAATGGGAGGAAAAATCCATATAGCTGTGAATTGATTCATTTATCCCCCTGATCACCATTGATGCTATATGGACACATTTCAATTTTGTTGTATTGTCTTTACAGAATATACTGTATTCTGAATTAAATTGGTTTCCCAAATTACATAAAAATATTTTTGGGTTGCTTCATGAATCAGCGGTTAGGAGCATGGCATTATTCCAGTGATTATTTTGGCTGCGTCCCGAATGACTCCCTATATAGTGCACTACTTTTGGTGCCATTTGGGATGCAGCCTCTGTGTTGTGACTTTTAACTTCATGAAAGCTGTCTCCTAGGTGGTGTTGCGTCCTCAGAGCCCGTGTCAGTCCGGCCGGCAGTTTGGCCTGCGCATCTTCAGTAAGGTCCGGCCCCCAGTGGGAGGCATCTCAGTCAAGGAGCACTTTGAGGTGAGGAAGCATGTGATCATAACATTAGAGCTGTGATAATGTGTGTGATCATAACATTGAAGATGTCATAACATATGTTATCATAACATTGAAGATGTCTTAACATGTGATCATAACATTTAATTATGAAAGCATTGGGAGCATACAGGTAGACATGTTTCTCTGTTGTAATGTGTTTGTGCCACCAGGTGAACGTGGTTCCTCTCACCATCCAGCTCATGTACCAGTTCTTCAAAAGGATGATGGGATTCTTCTTCCCAGGAAGGAACGTGGAGGAGGAGGAAGTTGCTGATGAGGAGGACAAGTCCCGAATGGTCACTACTGGTATGTATTGCGTCTACCTGCTAGCATCCTGTCCAGGGGGCTTACATCAAGCTACAGAAACATGTATGTATTGCCTCTACCTGCTAGCATCCTGTCCAGGGGGCTTACATCAAGCTACAGAAACAGAAGATAGGTGCCTGCCATATGGACCATTCTGACTCGGACAAGGCTTACTTACTTACCAGCTATTGATGTGCAACAGTTATACTTTACTATATACGTTCACTTTCCCTCAAGTCTCCAACCATCCTCTACATGTTGACCAGCCTGAAATCCACACCTCTCTCCACCCAACCAATCAATATTAGTTTCCATTGTCTTTGCAAGCTCTTCATCATGTGTGGTATTGGATTGCTAGTTGCTGTGTCACCCCTGGTGGCTATTAAAAGCCAGGGTCTACTGTGATCCTGAGGGCTGTGTGAGAAGGTGCATCCCACATGGCACCCTATTCCCTACATAGTGCATTATGGGCCCTGGTCAAAAGTAGTGCACTATAAAGGGGATAGGGTGCCCTATTGGACATTTTGGAGAGCTGCAGGAGTATAGGTTGTGGACTGTAGAGTGGTGGAGTCATTGAGGCCATGCTGCTGATGATGCTGCTGTCTTTCTTGTACTCACATCCACACTTGTTTTTCTTCCTGGCACTGGTTCTGCTGATTGCGGCTATTTCAAAGAAGGGTGTATAACTTAAATTACTGTATGTGGTTGTTTTTCCTACTAAACTTAGTTGAATGCACTGACTTGTATGTCGCTCTGGATAAGAGTGTCTGCTAAATGACTAATGTAAATTGTATCTCAGGCATGCCTGTCATCAAGCCTCGGCAGCTCTCGGAGGACACCATGGGGGTCATGGGCCCCAGCAAAGGCGTCACCCAGGGCTTGAACCGCACCTCTGGGGTCAGGAGGTCCTTCCGTAAGGCTGTTGAGGTATTTGTTGTGTTTTTGTTAAATTAGAAATGAGAAAAGATTCATCTTTATGTGTTGATGTATCCCCAAATGTTCATACTGCCATACTACTTTGACACCCAGCTACATCTGCTGGGGGAATTGGCTCGTTGTTTTCACAAGCACTTCCCAACTTTCTCGTTATATTACTTTTGACCAGAGCTCTGTGATGAGTATTAGGGTGCCATTTCAGACGCAGCCTTAGATCTTCCGTACTGTATTGAAACTGAAGTATGTCTTATTTTCCCTACCTAGCATCCTGTAGATGACATTGACAAGATGAAGGAGAGAGCAGCCATGAATAACTCCTTCATCTACATCAAGATCCCCCAGGTTCCCCTGTGTGTCAGCTATAAGGTAGGTATCGCCATGTGCTGAAATTAAGGGTAGCACATTTTCCAGAAATCCCGGTTGGATGATTCCCGGATTTCCTGCTTATTCCCTTCTGATTCCAGGAATCTTCCAACCGGGATTTCTGGGAATGTACCGGAAGTTGTCTGGATTTTGCAGCTAGCTAAAGTACAACAGGACTCAATGCTTTGATTCAAGACAGTTATTGATTCTATATACATGTTGGTGTGTCAGTGAGTTCATAAATAAATATTCCCCTCGAAGGGAGATGTTTAATCTCACTCAGCCATTATTAGGTAAAGAGAAATGTCATCATGATTCTGTGTTTAACCCACACCAGGTCACATGCTAAAATACCTCAACATCTGGTGTGTTGTCATGTGTTTTATCCGATTTGTATATGTAAACCTTCTCACACTGTTGGCGTGTTTGTGACTTGGACGTCATTTTTTATCCCACTCCGATTTTCAATTTCATGTTTTTAAGGATTTGCAAAATAATCGTTATTTTCCAATGACAGCATTATCTTGCCTTCCAGATTACATAATGCTTGGTATTATCAACCATGGTGTTTCAATCCCTTTTCATAGCTGACTTGAGTAAATGTTTAAAAAATCTAAATGTTTAATATTGAAAATGTAATATTCGTTTATGAATTAAGCAGGAGATCAATGAACCCACACAGACATGTCATGAAGGCATGATTATTGTAGAATTGTATGAACAACTCTTGTACTTTTTAACTCCCAGACAATGTTTCATTATGTATTTTGTGCTTGTGTCCACATAGGGAGAGAAAAGCAGTGTTGACTGGAAGGATCTGAACCTTGTTCTGCCTTGTCTGGAGTACCACAACAACACGTGGACCTGGCTGGACTTTGCCATGGCTGTGAAGAGGGACAGCAGGAAAGCACTGGTAGCACAGGTACTGCACTGAACCCTGTCCCGCTTATTACTAACCCAACCATTGTGGGGTAAAGTTCCCCTAGATACAGATCTAGGATCAGCCTCCCCTTCCCCTTGACCATTAGTGGGGAAAATGCCAAACTAACCCAGGGTCAGCATGTAGGGGCAACTTCATCCTACTCCGTACTGCACAGAACCTTGGCCCCTCCCATTACCAACACAGTCATGCCCTACAGTAGCAGTTTGATGGCAAAAATGGCACTTCTACCATCATTACATTTTACATTTTAGTCATTTAGCAGACGCTCTTATCCAGAGCGACTTACAGTTAGTGAATACATTTTTTTTTTATACTGGCCCCCCGTGGGAATCGAACCCACAACCCTGGCGTTGCAAACGCCATGCTCTATCAACTGAGCTACATCCCTGCCGGCCATTCCCTCCCCTACCCTGGACGACACTGGGCCAATTGTGCGCCGCCCATGAGTCTCCCGGTCGCGGCCGGCTGCGACAGAGCCTGGATTCGAACCAGGATCTCTAGTGGCACAGTTTGCACTGCGATGCAGTGCCTTAGACCACTGCGCCACTCAGGAGTACACGTACATCATGATGTTCCAAGCTGCCAAAATGCCAATCCCTGCTTAAAGCTATTTTTATATGTCACAATATAGAACTATGTATAGTTGACTTTAGTCATATGTCCTATATATTTCTCACGTTTTCCTTTTCCCATCCATAGATGATTAAGGAGTTCTTGAACCATATGTTATTTCATATTTTCTGAAATGACCTATGGGGAAAAAAACTAGTATTTAGTCAGCCACCAATTGTGCAAGTTCTCCCACTTAAAAATGATTTTTTATGAATTTATTTGGAAATTATGGTGGAAAATAAGTATTTGGTCAATAACAAAAGTTTCTCAATACTTTGTTATATACCCTTTGTTGGCAATGACACAGGTCAAATGTTTTCTGTAAGTCTTCACAAGGTTTTCACACACTGTTGCTGGTATTTTGGCCCATTCCTCCATGCAGATCTCCTCTAGAGCAGTGATGTTTTGGGGCTGTCGCTGGGCAACACGGACTTTCAACTCCCTCCAAAGATTTTCTATGGGGTTGAGATCTGGAGACTGGCTAGGCCACTCCAGGACCTTGAAATGCTTCTTATGAAGCCACTCCTTCGTTGCCCGGGCGGTGTGTTTGGGATCATTGTCATGCTGAAAGACCCAGCCACGTTTCATCTTCAATGCCCTTGCTGATGGAAGGAGGTTTTCACTCAAAATCTCACGATACATGGCCCCATTCATTCTTTCCTTTACACGGATCAGTCGTCCTGGTCCCTTTGCAGAAAAACAGCCCCAAAGCATGATGTTTCCACCCCCATGCTTCACAGTAGGTATGGTGTTATTTGGATGCAACTCAGCATTCTTTGTCCTCCAAACACGACGAGTTGAGTTTTTACCAAAAAGTTCTATTTTGGTTTCATCTGACCATATGACATTCTCCCAATCCTCTTCTGGATCATCCAAATGCACTCTAGCAAACTTCAGACGGGCCTGGACATGTACTGGCTTAAGCAGGGGGACACGTCTGGCACTGCAGGATTTGAGTCCCTGGCGGCGTAGTGTGTTACTGATGGTAGGCTTTGTTACTTTGGTCCCAGCTCTCTGCAGGTCATTCACTAGGTCCCCCCGTGTGGTTCTGGGATTTTTGCTCACCGTTCTTGTGATCATTTTGACCCCACGGGGTGAGATCTTGCGTGGAGCCCCAGATCGAGGGAGATTATCAGTGGTCTTTGTATGTCTTCCATTTCCTAATAATTGCTCCCACAGTTGATTTCTTCAAACCAAGCTGCTTACCTATTGCAGATTCAGTCTTCCCAGCCTGGTGCAGGTCTACAATTTTGTTTCTGGTGTCCTTTGACAGCTCTTTGGTCTTGGCCATAGTGGAGTTTGGAGTGTGACTGTTTGAGGTTGTGGACAGGTGTCTTTTTATACTGATAACAAGTTCAAACAGGTGCCATTAATACAGGTAACGAGTGGAGGACAGGGGAGCCTCTTAAAGAAGAAGTTACAGGTCTGTGAGAGCCAGAAATCTTGTTGTTTGTAGGTGACCAAATACTTATTTTCCACCATAATTTGCAAATAAATTGATTAAAAATCCTACAATGTGATTTTCTGGATTTTTTTTTCTCAATTTGTCTTTCATAGTTGACGTGTACCTATGATGAAAATTACAGGCCTCTCATCTTTTTAAGTGGGAGAACTTGCACAATTGGTGGCTGACTAAATACTTATTTTCCCCACTGTATGTTTCCTCCCCCTCCCTCTCTGTGTAGATGATAAAGGAGAAGCTGCGTCTGAAGCCGGCGTCGGGCTCTGACTCTCGGGGCAAGGTGTTTGAGGGGAAGTCCGACAGTAGCATGCAGCAGCAGGAGGAGGATGAGAAGGCCCGACTCCTCATCGGTCTCAGCAGCTCAGACAAGAGCTCCAGCAAGAAGAGCATCTTCAGCCGACGCAAGTGACCCATAGGCCTACCTACACTCACGCTGAACCAGTACTGTACTGGACCACTGCGCTCTAGTCTATGGTAGTGTCCCAAATGGCACCCTATACCCTACATAGTGAACTACTTTCGACCAGGGCCCTATGGTTCCTGGTCAGAAGTAGTGCACTGTATAGGGTGCCATTTTGGGATGCAGGCTATGGCAGCTACAGTAGCACAATGTATTTTCTAGTGTATTGTCTGATGACACTTGACCTGGTCAAATACTGTATGCTCTGGTGTGGAGATGGAGGTAGCAGGTCATTATGGGGAACAGAGACTGATAATAAAACAGTGCCAAGGACTGACCCTGACACGCCCTGTTCTTTATTACCTGTGAGGTCTTGGGACTAACACAGTATGTTCTAGACCGGGGGGGGGGGGGCAAGCCATGTCCGGCCAGCAAGCCACGTCCGGCCCGCCAGCCAATTAAATATGGCCCCCAATGGCGGAAATTATTATTTTAGGTTAAACTACTCCAGGCCACATTTGAACGTATAAAACTATATAGAAAGTATGTAAGAATTATAATGGACCTATATATTTTCAAATAACTGCCCTTTTTCTGGCCCGCAAATGTATTTTGACTAAAATAATCTGCGGCCCCTAGTTGAATATCGAAATCCAGATTTGGCTTTCGAGCGTAAAACTTTGCCCTGTTCTAGACAGAGGAGGTCTGCCACCAGCCTAGGGGAACACACCATCTTTCTCTGTGAACTGCTGTCTAATGAAGCATGTATTTCATGTATGACCAGGGCTCGTATTCAATGTGTCTCAGAGTAGGGGTGCTGATCTAGGATCATATCCCCTCCTGTCCATATAATTGTATTTGTTATGATCTAAAAGTCACAACTGATCCTAGATCAGTACTCGTATTATATGGATATGGGGCCCACTTCTCTGCTAAAAACAAATACCAGGGTCTTATTGACCAAATGTGTCTTTTTCTTTTTTTTTTCGTGCCGTACAGTAAACATTTCATTTTCATTCAATGCATCATGGTCCTGAACTTTCAGAATGAGCAGCCTATACTAGTTGCATTAATAGCATGACTGGGGTGATGGCTATTTTTTGAGTTTCACTGTCTGCTCATTTCCCCTGTAAATCAGTTAGAACATTTCATAGTTTATATGTTGACTATGGATGTGTCTCAAATGGCACCGGATTCCCTATATGGTTCACTACTTTAGGGGATAGGTTGCCAAAGTAGTGCACTATATAGGGGATAGGATGCCATTTTAAGATGCAACTAATGTGACTTGTTTCCTGCTGGTTCAGGAATACTGTATCCTCAAGCAAATGTAAATCAGGTAGATTGTAAAACATTTTCATCTCAAATGAAAGCACCTTGACAACCATAGAAATGCTGTCTGTTGCAACAGTTAGAAAAGCCTGATTCACTAGTACTGTAATGATATATATATTCTAGCCTTATGCTTTTATTATAGTGTTGGGATTTTACTCAAGTCTGTATGATACTGTCACACTGACTGGAAAGTGCATCCCTGTAAAAGAACACAAACATATCTAATTTTGTACCCTGCATGAGACTTCTCCAATAACATACACTACCGGTCAAAAGTTTTAGAACACCTACTCATTCAAGGGTTTTTCTTTTCTTTTTTACAATTTTCTACATTGTAGAATAATAGTGAAGACATCAAAACAATGAAATAACACATATGGAATCATGTATTAACCAAAAAAGTGTTAAACAAATCAAAATATATTTTATATTTGAGATTCTTCAAATAGCCACGCTTTGCCTTGATGACAGCTTTGCACACTCTTGGCATTCTCTCAACCATCTTCACCTGGAATGCTTTTCCAACAGTCTTGAAGGAGTTCCCACTTATGCTGAGAACTTTTTGGCTGCTTTTCCGTCACTCTGCGGTCCGACTCAATTTGGTTGAGGTTGGGGGATTGTGGAGGCCAGGTCATCTGATGCAGCACTCCATCACTCTCCTTCTTGGTCAAATAGCCCTTACACAGCCTGGAGGTGTGTTGGGTCATTGTCCTGTTGAAAAACAAATGATAGGCCCACTAAGCCCAAACCAGATGGGATGGCGTATCGCTGCAGAATGCTGTAGTAGCCATGCTGGTTAAGTGTGCCTTGAATTCTAAATAAATCACAGGCAGTGTCACCAGCAAAGCACCCCCACACCATAACACCACCTCCTCCATGCTTTACGGTGGGAAATACACATGCAGAGATCATTCGTTCACCCACACCGCATCTCACAAAGACACGCCGGTTAGAACCAAAAATCTCCAATTTGGACTCCAGACCAAAGGGCACATTTCCACCGGTCTAATGTCCGTTGCTCGTGTTTCTTGGCCCAAGCATGTCTCTTCTTATTATTGGTGTCCTTTAGTAGTGGTTTCTTTGCAGCAATTTGACCATGAAGGCCTGATTCACACAGTCTCCTCTAAACAGTTGATGTTGAGAAGTGTCTATTACTTGAACTCTGTGAAGCATTTATTTGAGCTGCAATTTCTGAGGCTGGTAACTCTAATGTACTTATCCTCTGCAGCAGAGTTAACTCTGGGTCTTCCTTTCCTGTGGCGGTCCTCATGAGAGCCAGTTTCATCATAGCGCTTGATGGTTTTTGCGACTGCACTTGAAGAAACTTTCAAAGTTCTTGAAATTTCCCGCATTGACTGACCTTCATGTCTTAAAGTAATGACTGTCGTTTCTCTTTGCTTATTTGAGCTGTTCTTGCCATAATATGGATATCTTCCATTTGCGAATAATCGCACCAACTGTTGTCACCTTCTCACCAAGCTGCTTGGCGATGGTCTTGTAGCCCATTCCAGCCTTGTGTAGGTCTACAATCTTGTCCCTGACATCCTTGGAGAGCTCTTTGGTCTTGGCCATGGTGGAGAGTTTGGAATCTGATTGATTGATTGCTTCTGTGGACAGGTGTCTTTTATACAGGTAACAAGCTGAGATTAGGAGCACTCCCTTTAAGAGTGTGCTCCTAATCTCAGTTTGTTACCTGTATAAAAGACACCTGGGAGCCAGAAATCTTTCTGATTGAGAGGGGGTCAAATACTTATTTCCCTCATTAAAATGCAAATCAATTTATAACATTTTTGACATGTGTTTTTCTGTCTCTCCCTGTTCAAATAAACCTACCATTAAAATTATAGACTGATCATTTCTTTGTCAGTGGGCAAACGTACAAAATCAGCAGGGGATCAAATACTTTTTTCCCTCACTGTAGAGACATACCCCAAGAGACTTGCAGCTGTAATTGCTGCAAAAGGTGGCTCTACAAAGTATTGACTTTGGGGGGGTCAATCGTTTTGTTTTTTTTTGTCTTATTTCTTGTTTGTTTCACAAATAATATTTTGCATCTTCAAAGTGGTAGGCATGTTGTATAAATCAAATGATACAAACCCCCAAAAAATCCATTTTAATTCCAGGTTGTAAGGCAACAAAATAGGAAAAATGCCAAGGGGGTGAATACTTTCGCAAGCCGCTGTACATGATTCCATATGTGTTATTTCATAGTTTTGATGTCTTCACTATTATTCTACAAATGTAGAAAATAGTAAAAATTAAAGAAAAACCCTTGAATGAGTAGGTGTTTTAAAACATTTGACCGGTGGTGTATATGCCACAGCAGACTTCTGTTTTATACTGGAGTTCCCCTACAAATCTGTGCGATATCACAACCGAGCAGCAAAAATATGTCCTTGTTGTTTTCTATTTTATGGCAGTTATTCTGACAGCTTTGATAGTCTCTGCAAAAATAATTTTGTTGCAGCTTGTCTTGATAATGTTTTGGAATTTTAACACTACAGCACTTTTTAAGCATAGTATTTTCAGATATTTTTGTAACCATGGTTATTTCTTTTTAAATCACATCTGTACCTTGTTATTCAGTTACAGCTTCCTTACAGTTTTTCCCAATTGCTAAAACACAATTTTACAAACTAGGCTGGTTTTATCAAAATACTTAACACAATTCACACACCCACACTGCAAAATACCTAATATCCTGCAAAATGAAGCACTGCAACCAAAACTACATATAGCATTATCAAAATCAAACGTTTGCACGAAATGGCACACACTTCATTCATATTACCAGATTTGTCTAACCAACTACACACTGTTGGGCATAATGAAAAGCACTCTCATCTTTAGTATGCTTTGCCATAATACTAAAATAGTTCAAATTGTAGAAAATTATTCAGATTGTTCACATACACATAAATATTTGCAGATACACACACACATGCTGTTGAAACATTTATATTTTTCACCAAACAAGTCAGTGCCCCGTGTAGCTCAGTTGGTAGAGCATGGCACTTGCAACGCCAGGGTTGTGGGTTTGTTTCCCACAGGGGGCCAGTATGAAAAATGTATGCACTCACTAACGAAGTCGCTCTAGATAAGAGTGTCTGCTAAATGACGTAAATGTAAACATATGCACAGCAGATATATTTACATTGGACTGAACAAAAATATGCTCACAAAAAACGGTAAACTGAAAAAGAAAATTGCAGAAAAAATGTGCAGAAAAAATATATAGAAAAGAGGCAAGAAAAATAATTAGGCAGCATCTTGCCGCACAGCTGGGTCTGGCCACAACGCCTCATCCACATCACAGGCAATATCTTCCCTTGCCAGACATCGAGGGAAGAAGCGCCTTGAGTGCCTTATCCATCCCTGAATCGCACCCACATCAATCTCATCACATGCCTCTTCCATAGCCTGCACAAGAGGCATGCGCACAAAGGGCTGCCGGTTGTATACCTTCCACCGCCATGCCGAAAATAACTCTTCTATGGGGTTCAGAAATGGTGAGAGGTATTGCACGAGAAATGGTGGGTGGTCAGCAAACCAGTTTTTGACTGGGGCTGCACGATGGAAGCGCACGTTGTCCCATACTACAACATACCGGGTTCTTTGATGGTCTGCATCATTCATACGCTCTGGTGGTATGAGAATGTTGTGGAGTCTGTCCAGAAATGTGAGAATATGGGCTGTGTTAAATGGTCCAAGGTTGGCATGACGGTGGAGGACACCATGCGTATTGGAGATGGCAGCGCACATTGTGATGTTCCCACCACGTTGGCCAGGAACATCTATAATGGCTAATGACGTTTCTCCCCCTTCTTCTGGTCTTTGCTAGGTTGAACCCAGCCTCGTCTATAAAGATGAACTCATGTGGGATTGCATGAGCATCCATTTCCAGTACTCCCTGAAAACAAAGAACAAAAGCAGTCAATATGGTGTTATCCAGTACACTGGGAAACATTGTTGCGTGTAGTGTACTGCAGTCAATATTGTACTTACATCCACATATGCTCGTCTGACCTCTTCGTTTCTTTGAGAGTTTCAAACGGCACCTTTATAAAGTTGTTTCATTCTGATTTGGTTTCGCTTGAGAATGCAAGCCAGTGGACAGACTGACTCGTTGAATGTTGTTGAATATTGGTGTTGTCTTGGATGATGTGGCTTTGAATTTCTCGTAATCTGATTTCATTATTTTCCAAAACCAAATTTGCAATGGCAGCTTCCTGTACCCCAGTGAACATTTGGCCCCTTCCTCCACCATGGTTGCATCTCTGTCCTTTAGAAAAACTAAAATATAGGGCTTGGACAATGCAGCCTAAAGATATTTCCCCCACAGTAGAGTAAATTGTACAGGAAACTTGTGCAGTTAGTGTATGACATCAGCCATTCATGAAGTAAACAGGTGTCACTATGACATGGGGTGTACTACATAGTGTGAAAGACATTTTGGTTACATACCTGTACTCCAGTCTAAATGTCCGGATGACACAGGCGACAGTAAAACGGCTCAAGTTGGGCTGCACTCTGTCCAGCCTCTCGCATTGTCAGCCCATGGTTGATGACATGATCAACTAAGGTCGCTCTGGATTTCATTTGAAAGTTGTCTTCTTTGGCCATGAACTCCTCTACCCCTACCTCTCACTCTTCCTCTCATTCTCACCCTCCCTCTTCCTCTCTCTGCATCGTCTTCCATTGTTGTTGTAAAACAAAAGGTGCTCACCTGTGGTCTTTTCATAGTGCTTACTTCCTGATTGAAGTGGTAACAATTAACCATTGAGGTGTTTGGCCAGGTGGCACATGTATTGGCCAATTAGCCCATGTAGTGTCATTTTGAATGGCAGTGTTTTGAAATGGCAAAGGTGACTTTATGTCAGATTGTTGTGTCTTCTGCAGAGAACCATGTGCAGTGCATTTAAAAAGTGCCATTTTGAATTGCAAAATGTGTGTAAAGCAGAAAATGTGTTTAGACTTTTGGAGACTTGAGAAGAGGTTTTGCTCTCTGTGTGTCAGTTTAAATAATTGTGCTGTGCATGTCATTTTGGTGTGTTAGCAATTGGAATAAACTGTAAGGTACAAGATGTCAAATATTTCAAGAAAGTTGTTTCTTTGCTACCTCTTTATTTCTCATCACCATGCATGTAATTATAATTGTTTGTCAATAAAATAGTTGTTCCCAAGTCTCTTATAGCTGATTGTATCATGTATGTTCTCAAAAGGTCACTACACTGTCAATGTATCATTTATTTCGTGAGTATAAATAGATGTGTGATTGGTTAACAGAAATGTGGAGTTATGATTTTAGCCGTTATTTCCAGTGGAGTGTGAGTGGCTAATTGATCATTCATCTGACAGGCTTAACTGGAGCAGAACTTCGCCTTCTGTAGAATACCATCGAATGTGAGGTTATCATTCGTCTCTCGAGATGGTCAGTCATGGCGGGTCAGGAATGTGCGATCGATGTTTTACAAGGCAGTGTAAGACTATGTTAAAAATAGCCAATTAGAAAATAATGATGTGGGGTTGATCGAGGTTTACCAAATAATGTGATGGGCAGCGACTCAAGTAAACATGAGGTAAGAGATCTTCAGACGTAGCCTACACGTATGAAGTTATCAGGTTAGATCACATGTTTAGACTGCTTGTGCTGTATACTGCTTTAGCCTACTAACCTATTGTCTTTTCACATTTACATTACATTTTAGTCATTTAGCAGACGCTCTTATCCAGAGCGACTTACAGTTAGTGAATACATTTTTATATATATATATATATTTTTTATACTGCCCCCCCCGTGGGAATCGAACCCACAACCCTGGCGTTGCAAACGCCATGCTCTATCAACTGAGCTACATCCCTGCCGGCCATTCCCTCCCCTACCCTGGACGACGCTGGGCCAATTGTGCGCCGCCCATGAGTCTCCCGGTCGCGGCCGGCTGCGACAGAGCCTGGATTCGAACCAGGATCTCTAGTGGCACAGTTAGACCACTGCGCCACTCAGGAGGCTTTTCCACATAATAGGTTAGCCACTAGCTAGCAACAATATTGACATTTGGTTACATGTGCATCCCTGCGTGCAGCGAATAGAAACAGGTGATGAGCACCTTTTTATATATATATATTTTTTTATGGATATTCATTGGAATAGTAAACATACATTTCATTAATCTATGTAAAGTGAAAATTTTGTTTTTAAATACAATTTTAAGTAAGTATTTTACAATGACATTTCAGGGGCACGTGGAGCTGGCGGATGTGTTATGAGTGCACTGAACTGTTTTTAATGGAAGGCGCCTACGGGTCGGTGGGGAGTTATATTAAAAGGGGTGGGGGGTGGCTCACTGTGGCTGCGGTGATCTTCTCTTGTGCCTGGAGTCGAGTGGATGGAAAGTCATTCAAACAGACTGGACTCTGAGATAATTACGTGAAAATAGATTGTCTTCAACATTCGTTTGTTTGGCATGTTGGCACATTTTTGGTTTCATATGATATCTTCTCTATCCAATGCTGATTTAGTCCTGTATGAATCTAGTGTGGCATATGCCAGTAACATCAACATATATTTGACATTTAGCTCTAGTTACTTGCTGCTCACAGCACTATTTATAATTAGAACCATCACTAATTAGAAAGCTGCTGTCCTCAATGTAGAGACAGGTGGCATGGCCTTCTCTCCAATATGGGAATATCCTTTACTGATGGACTTCGCCACCTTGGCAGCGGAGCCCCAATCCCTGAGGACCTCCTCCACCCAGGAAACAGCCCTTAGAAGCCTGTCATGGAGTGGACTCTCCCTGGCTTCATCTGTCTTTCTGCCTGAGTTCCCACACTGTAAATTCCCTGTGCAAGACGATTTCCAGGTAGTCCTCCTTAACTTCATTTGGATTGAACTCCTGGACCACAGATTATATCAATCTTTAATGAAAATGTTGTTTTCATGCTGTCTCTTCAGCAGATTTAATGAAATCATTAATTGATAGGCAAACAACAGATAAATCAGTAACTTATTACTTCTTGACTGGACGATGACTAAGTTATTCTATATGTGGGGGAAATAAATTATATGATGGTCTGTCTGTGGAACTTAGCTGTAATGATACAAATGTTTAATAATATTGCAACATTTGAATCTCACTTTCTCTCCATGACATTCAGATCCTGGGCTTCATAGCCAAAGGCTCCTTTGGTCCTATCTTGAAAGTAAAGGACAGGTCGAAGGAGAAGACCTTTGCAGTTAAGGTGAATTTCTCCTCAGCCACATCACATTTAACCAGCACTATATTTCATGTGACATTTACACACATCTAGTGTATTCTATTCCTACCCTGTATTTAATGTTCTTGTATTGTGTTGCTCTACAGGTTTTACCCAAGTCTGAGATACTGAAGCATGGGGTCCTGGAACAGTCAAAGGAGGAGGTCACACTGCAGGATGACCTGGAAAGCTGCTATCCAAGCTTAGGGCCTGACTTAGTTTAGGGGATAACATGCTGGAAACAATGACTCACTGAGGTCTAACAATGACTATGACGATTCTCCCTATGAGCTTCTGTGCAACAACAACCATGGTCCCATGGAGCTTTTGCAAAACAAAACAAAAACTTTGCCATCATTGAAGATACCTGGTTGGATTCAGGATCCCTCCTAAATCACATTTAGTTCTACTGAGTGTCTTTGCTGACATCCACACTGTTGCTGCTGCTGTGTGTGTTGCCTGTTGCGTTGCAGCGGCAGGTCAGCCACCCATTCTTCCACAATCTGCAGGACTGCTTGCAGACCCAGCGCCACCTCTTCATTAGTGAATGACTAATGTGATATAGCTAGATCCCTCCTTCCCCTTCGTTTTATCCGCTCCTCTCTTTACCCTCCCTGTGTCTCACGTAGGAGCTTCCCACTGGGCACAGACGTCAATTCAACGTCTATTTCACGTTGGTTCAACCTAATTTCATTGAAATTACGTGGAAACAACGTTGTTTCAACCAGTGTGTGCCCAATGGGTTGTCTCGCTCTCCCTAGCAGGAGTGTCAACTATGGCATTATCTGGCCTTGCTGCTATTTAGTGTTGTCTCCTCAGTTTGAGCCCCATGACTCGTCTGAAGAATTATACTGCCATCTACTGAGATTTCAGTGTGTAGCATACAGTCATGTGGCCTCTGAACAGGTTTCCCCTTCCTTTTGGTTTATTAATAACACCCTTATTAGTGGATAAAGGCATGTTTGACTTCATTTGTGTCTCTGACTGACACTTAGCTCCTTCCCCAGCATCACCCCTTTCCCTTCCTACGCTTCCCCCAGCCTTAAAAAACGTCCAACTGTTTGACTTCCGACAAATTAATTGTTTTCTCCTATTGCTTCTCTCCTCCATTGCTCCTTCCTTTTCAAGTGCTTGTGTTTCAGCAGGGGTCATCTACTCCCAGCCCTGGATCAGTGTACTGTACATAGCCTTGTTATGTACTAAGATGGATCATTGTGTGTGACTGTGTCTGTCTTCCCACAGTGTGTGAGTACTGCAGTACTGGAGACCTGTACACCTACTGGATACTGGAGGGCCAGTTTGGGGAGGACGAGGCTCGGGTATTTGCTGCAGAGCTAGGCTGTGCTTTGGGTGAGTGTCTATACACAATATAGTTCTCCAAAATGTGTATGAGATCATTGTTTAAGTTTCACCTTTACTTGGATTATAATGGGTGTGTCTGATTGGTAGGTTTCCTTCACGACTTTGGGATCATGCATAGGGATGTGAAGGTATGAACATTTGTTTTGATAATGAACATTATTCTTTGCAACTAAATTACTCATATTTACAACTTCACAGGAAAGTTAAAAGCATCTGATTATTCTGGATGTTTTAGATGGAGAATGTCCTTCTGTCTGACCAAGGTAATGCTGGCTTAAATAATATATTAATATATCATATATGCCATTTAGCAGACACTTTTATTGAAAGCGACTTACAGTACAGTCATGCATGTGTAGCACATGGAGATGTGTGAAACTTACTCTTCAGCCTTATGTGTCCCGCTTCCGTCGTCTCGTTAGCTAGCTTTTGAGGTGGCGCGATCGGCTAAGACGCTTGAGGGAGGACGGTCACGTGTGTTTGTGAGGCAGAGATCCCGAGTTCGTACCAGGTATCGGCCGAATCGGGAGGAAGTTGTACTCGCTAAGCAAGCAGCGTGACGTCCTTTACAAATGCATACATTTTACGTATGGTTTAGTTTACTTTCTACTGCAATCAAATATAAGAGAACACTAGAGGGCCTTATAATATCGTGGTCCTCTGTAGCTCAATTGGTAGAGCATGACGCTTGTAACGCCAGGGTAGTGGGTTCGATCCCCGGGACCACCCATACGTAAAAATGTATGCACACATGACTGTAAGTCGCTTTGGATAAAAGCGTCTGCTAAATGGCATATTATTATATTATTATTAATACAGTGGACACTTCTGTATTGTTGGTGTAGGGAATATTCTGGAAGATATAAACTCTGCAAAAAAAAAAAACGTCCTCTCACTGTCAACTGCGTTTATTTTCAGCAAACTTAACATGTGTAAATATTTGTATGAACATAACAAGATTCAACAACTGAGACATAAACTGAACAAGTTCCATAGACATGTGACTAACATAAATGGAATAATGTGTCCCTGAACAAAGGGGTGGTCAAAATCAAAAGTAACAGTCAGTATCTGGTGTGGCCACCAGCTGCATTAAGTAATGCAGTGCATCTTCTCCTCATGGACTGCACCAGATTTGCCAGTTCTTGCTGTGAGATGTTACCCCACTCTTCCACCAAGGCACCTGCAAGTTCCCAGACATTTCTGGGGGGAATGGCCCTAGCCCTCATCCTCCGATCCAACAGGTCCCAGACGTGCTCAATGTGATTGAAATCCGGGCTCTTCGTTAGCCATGGCAGAACACTGAACGTTCCTGGTGTAACTCGGGCAGTTGTTGTTGCCATCCTGTACCTGTCCCGCAGGTGTGATGTTCGGATGTACCGATCCTGTGCAGGTGTTGTTACACCTGGTTTGCCACTGCGAGGACAATCAGCTGTCCGTCCTGTCTCCCTGTAGCGCTGTCTTAGGCGTCTCACAGTACGGACATTGCAATTTATTGCCCTGGCCACATCTGCAGTCCTCATGCCTCCTTGCAGCATGCCTAAGGCACGTTCACACAGATGAGCAAGGTACCCTGGGCATCTTTCTTTTGGTGTTTTTCAGAGTCAGTAGAAAGGCCTCTTTAGTGTCCTAATTTTTCATAACTGTGACCTTAATTGCCTACCGTCTGTAAGCTGTTATTGTCTTAACGACCGTTCCACAGGTGCATGTTCATTAATTGTTTATGGTTCATTTAACAAGCATGGGAAACAGTGTTTAACCCTTTACAATGAAGGTCTGTGAAGTTATTTGGATTTTTACGAATTTTCTTTGAAAGACAGGTTCCTGAAAAGGGGACGTTTCTTTTTATGATGAGTTTAGTTTCATATTAGTAAGGTAGAATAACCGGAATTGGATTTGTGAAGTACTGTATGCAAAATACTACTGTATCTGTTTGATGCAGGTCATCTGCATTTAGCTGACTTTGGACTCTCTCGCCATCTTGAGCGGGGCGCAAGAGCATTTATAATTTGTGGGACAATCCAATACATGGGTGAGATGCTTGGGATCAGGCAAGATTAATGGTCACTACACATTAAGCACCTATTATAATCTCACTGGGATGGTCCTCTGTCTGAACAGCTCCTGAAGTCCTGAGTGGGGGTCCCTACAGCCATGCTGCTGATTGGTGGTCTCTCGGCATTCTGTTGTTCTCATTGGTGACTGGAAAGGTGCGGTCACCACCACAGTTCATCTTAATTAAATGAATATGTGATGATTGTTAGAAAGGTTGTTTTTCTTATTTTAATTTCAGTCCTGTCATGCAAATCTAAATGCTAGTCTAGAGATGTTGTTGATGCTAATTCTGTCCATGTTACCTCCATAGTTCCCTGTACCAGACCACTGCAACATGCTGAGAAAGGTCAGAGACTGCCCATACTCCATGCCCAATCACAACAAATTCTCAATTCTCTCTCTCTCTCTCTCTCTCTCTCTCTCTCTCTCTCTCTCTCTCTCTCTCTCTCACTCACTCACTCACTCACTCACTCACTCACTCACTCACTCACTCACTCACTCACTCACTCACTCACTCACTCACTCACTCACTCACTCACTCACTCACTCACACACACACAGAACCCAGCCCATAGCCTGGAGCGCTTCAAAAGGCAGACGTTTTTCCATAGCACTTCCATTGACTCTCAGCTACTACAGAAGAGACCTGTTCAACTAATTCTACAACTGAAGAACCTTCCTGATCGTCCAGTCAAAGCCACGCGGGGCCTGTCTATGGACTACTTCCAGAACTTTGACTGTGACATCCTCCACTCCCCTACCAGCCCCACTGACATGTCACCTACCTTGGCCAACATTAACCTGAGCCAGGCCCTGGCTACAGTTCAGGGTTCTAGCAAATGAGATGTGCCTGTGCTACTGTGCCTCAATACTGCCTGCAAATTAATGGAAAGATTTCATATACACATTTTGTACCACATGGATACTTGGTTGTGAAAAAGCTACTGTACAGTGCATTTGGAAAGTATTCAGACCCCTTGACTTTTTCAACATTTTGTTATGTTACAGCCTTATTCTAAAATTAATTAGTTTTTTTTCCCTCATTAATCTACACACAATACCCCATAATGACAAAGCAAAAACAGGTTTTTTGAAATGTTTGCTATTTTTACATTTACATAAGTATTCAGACCCTTCACTCAGTACTTTGTTGAAGCACCTTTGGCAGCGATTACAGCCTCAAGTCTTCTTAGGTATGACCCTACAAGCTTGGCACACCTGTATTCGGGGAGTTTCTCCCATTGTTCTCTGCAGATCCTCTCAAGTGCTGTCAGATTGGATGGGGAATGTCGCTGTACAGCTATTTTCAGGTCTCTCCAGAGATGGTTAGATCAGGTTCAAGTCCGGGCTCTGGCTGGGCCACTCAAGGACATTCAGAGACTTGTCCCTAAGCCACTCCTGCGTTGTCTTGGCTGTGTGCTTAGGGTCATTGTCCTGTTGGAAGGTGAACCGTCGCCCCAGTCTAAGGTCCTGAGCGCTGTGGAGCAGGTTTTCATCAAGGATCTCTCTGTACTTTGCTCCGTTCATCTTTCCCTCGATCCTGACTAGTCTCCCAGTCCCTGCCACTGATAAACATCCCCACAGCATGATGCTGCCACCACCATGCTTCACCGTAGGGATGGTGCCAGGTTTCCTCCAGACTTGACGCTTGGCATTCAGGCCAAATAGTTCAATCTTGGTTTCATCAGACCAGAAAATCTTATTTTCTCATGGTCTGAGTCCTTTAGTTGCCTTTTTGGCAAACTCCAAGTGGGCTGTCATGTGCCTTTTACTGAGGAGTGGTTTCCGTCTGGCCACTCTACCATAAAGGCCTGATTGGTGGAGTGCTGCAGAGATGGTTGTCCTTCTGGAAGGTTCTCGCATCTCCACAGAGGAACTCTGGAGCTCTGTCAGAGTGACCATCGGGTTCTTGGTCACCTCCCTGACTAAGGCCCTTCTCCCCCAATTGCTCAGTTTGGCCGGGCGGCCAGCTCTAGGAAGAGTCTTGGTGGTTCCAAACTTCTTCCATTTTTTGTGTTCTTGGGGACCTTCAATACTGCAGACATTTTTTGGCACACTTCACCAGATCTGTGACTCGGCACAATCCTTTCTCGGAGCTCTACGGACAATTCCTTCGACCTCATGGCTTGGTTTTTGCTCTGACATGACCTGTCAACTGTGGGACCTTATATAGAGGTGTGTGCCTTTCCAAATTTAACACAGGTGGACTCCAATCAAGTTGTAGAAACATCTCAATAATGATCAATGGAAACAGGATGCACCTGAGCTCAATTTCGAGTCTCATAGAAAAGGGTCTGAATACTTATGTAAATAAGGTATTTCTGTTTTTTATTTTTAATACATTTGCAAACATTCAAAAAAACCAGTTTTTGCTTAGTTATTGTGTGTAGATTGATTTTTATTTTTTTATTTTATCAGTTTTAGAATAAGGCTGTAACGTAATAAAATGCAGAAAAAATCAAGGGGTCTGAATAGTTTCCGAATGCACTGTATGTTTTCTTTATTTACTTGGCCTATTTGGCTCCCTCTCTTCCTCTGTGTATACCTCTTTGCATACCCATTTAATGGGGTGTTAAATATATATGAGCTATAATACACTGAAAACCACCACTTACCAAAAAGGGTTTTTAACAGTGCTATTTCCCATTGAGAATAGTAGTACTGCAACTCAAAGCCTCTCATGGCACTGCCTGTAATAGCACACACTATTTCCAAATGTGGATCAACCACCTGCATGTTTGACCTTTTACCTTTGTTATTACATTTGTATAAGAAGATCTCTATTTTCCTGAAAATCCTTTCACATATATATTTTTTTACAAAGTATTTATTTAATTCTGTGTAATTTTATGTTTGATTGCTTATGCCATCGATTATTTGATTGACTGTTGTGTGACTGTTCACAAAGTCCTGCTATATACCCATTTCTCATTAGATTTCACTAATTGTTGATGTGTTTTACCCAACCACAGTAAAAGCTGAATAATAAAAGCCCCTATAAACTCATGATGGAGTTGTCTCTTGTCATGATATACTAGGAGAAATATCAAAGGAAATAGGTACCTTTTAAGCATACCTCTTATTTGAAGCAACTTGACGTGTTAAGAAGAGTTGATTAGTTCCACAGGTTTTTTAGGTTAGATGTTTTTAGCTGTTCCAGATATAGAGCCTGAGTTACTTCAGACACCTGATCATCAGTCATGACTGCAGAGAACATATATACATTTGAGCCAGTACGATACAGGAGGAGGCTTTCAGTTTATGGTTACCAACAGAAAAGTATCAATCTTACGGAGTATTATTCATTTGGTATTTCAAATGGTTTTCTCCCCTGAAATCTGTGTGGTTTAGTTGGTAGAGCATGGAGCTTGCAACGTCACGGTCATGCGTTCGATTCCTCCTGGGGCCCTGGCCACCCATATGAAAATGTATAGCTGATGCATTACTATAAGTCCTTTTGGATAAAAGCATCTGCTAAATGGCATATATTATGTTAACACGTACTGTACAGTATTTGTATTTTACTACACCTGGATACATAACGCCAACTTTTTCCCAGACCTTGGTGTGATGGTGACCTATTTGGTAAAACTCTGAGAACACAGAGAAACCCTTAAGGGAGCAACCTTAATAGGATGGAAAATTGAAGACCAGATAAAGCATTGTCATTAAATGTTTTTAATTAGGTTCCAACAGAAAAAAACTAGCTACTGCCCCAATGGAGATGGCTAGATATAATCTAAGCACAAGTCCCAGTCATCTTCCTAAAATGCCTCCTGAATAGGAAGGTGTAGTGGGCTCTCCTCTCTCTGCGGTCTGACATTGAATTCCCCTTCAGGCCCTTGTCTTAGACAGGTCTGGTACAGTATGTCTGTGGTGTTAGTCCAGTGACCCACATCTTTACATTGGTAGACACCTCTAGCACACTGACACAATTATGGAGGTAGGGATAGAGATGTCCCATAAAACAACACTAGTACAAGTAAGATGTCCTAGAAAAGTGGAAAATGTATTTTCTCATTTCTACACAGAAAAGGGGCAGAGGGAGATATTCAACTTGCCAAATAAAGGATACAATTCAAACACTTGATGAGACTTTATACAATGCCTGCATGATTGAATTAAGTATTTGCTGTCAAATGCTTGTCATTCTTGATAGAATTACATATGTATTTTATCCAACCACTTCAAGTGAAAATGTGACAACTGAATATGCCACCATAAAGACAATGTAGCCTATCACTGTTGATCTTCATGTGATGGACCTGATCTCGAGTATAGACCTATGTAAAGTACTCAAACTTGGATTGTTATCTTGTTCACATAAATAAATAAAAATCTGACCCCATTTCTCTCTAATCTATGTCACAGTTCTATATTTGGTCATTTACATCCACTGTAAACCTGTAAACACTATTTCTGAACCTATTAATACACATGATTTACTACTAATGCATAATGCAGATATGCATAGGAGTGTTTGAATTGCACTGAGACTGAGCTTTTCCTCTGGGTCTTAGGGGGAGGTCCGATTTGCCAAGAGATTCAGAAATGTGCCCAAGGCATAGTTCAACCTAATTATATAAGTCTATGATTTTCAACTAATTAGAGGAAAATAGTGAGCAAAGTGGTTTAACACTTAAATGAGGTTGCGCTGAAGAGTTCAAAGTTATTATCGCTTTTCTTTCTTTTTTACGTTACTGGGCCAACATACTGTAATGAACCTGGGTGTACACAATGGTGCTGTTTTAAGTAGCCAGGATTCATGAAATCTAACTTCTATGTAAATAAAAGGTAGAGAAACACAAAACTGTTGTTTGGAATTATTAATTAGCTTCATGTGGTCCTCTGTAGCTCAATTGGTAGAGCAGGGCGCTTGTAACGCCAGGGTAGTGGGTTCGATCCCCGGGACCACCCATACATAAAAATTTATGCACACATGACTGTAAGTCGCTTTGGATAAAAGCGTCTGCTAAATGGCATATTATATTATTTATATTATTATATTATATTATGTTTCATCCACTGAACTATTGATTGAACTGCCATTGGGACAACTTGTATTATTATTATTGTAGTGACTTGGAATGATGGATTCGTTTTTGTTGAATGCAGAGGAGGCTGGTAGGAGGAGCTATAGGAGGATGGGCTCATTGTAGTGGCTGGAATGGAATCAATGGAATAGTACCAAACACATGGAAACAACTTGTTTGACTCCGTTCCATTAATACCATTCCAGCCATTACAATGAGCCTGCTCCTATAGCTCCTCCCACCAGCCTCCTCTGGTTGAATGTATTCATCTATATTTATTTATTATACATCAACAAGCCCCACCCTGTCGTTAAGCCCCGCCCTAGAGGTGTTGGTTTTAGATGTGTCACAGATCTGTGTGGGATACAAGGGAGCAGCAGTCTGTCAGACAGCGCAGTGGCAATCACTTCTCCAGTGAACAAGTGAATTCTGAATTAGCATCCTGTCAGGTAAGGTTCTCAAGTTTTCTTGACATTTACTTTTCATTTCAGCAAGCTTTAGTAAACAGGATAGATAATATGATATTTAGCTAGTATGAATGTTCAACTATTGGATGAGTGGTACCCAGAGATCCTGATGATGCTATTAAAGTAATTTATACATTTTCTTTTCGAAAACTAAAGATATTACAGTGGATTGTTATTGTCTTGCAATTTACTAAACCAAATGAAAGGAGTGGATTGGAGTGACATGGTGTTAAGTCGATGCATGGTAGATGTACTTTATTACTGGCTATTGATCTAGTTTTCCTCGGTTATTGCAGACGTTGGAGTGTAAAAGCTGAGGTTCTGTGTTGACTTGGTGACTTGCCATACCCACTATCAAGGGATGTGATTTGAATGCATGAATCAACAAGTGCATTGTGCTACCCCACAGATCAATGTAGTCAGCGCTGCTACATCAGCAAGTGGGAAGCGTGATTAGGGGCCTTCTGCTCTCAATAAATAGTACTCATACAGTATAAACATATAGCCTCTATGTGAATTTTATGTATTACTACCTCATAAAAAAAATGTAACTTGCCAATTTGATGTTGCTACTACAGCGACACAGAACCAGGGTAATATTTCTGAAAAACTCTGGTTTGGACTGACAGAATTCCCTCACCTTTCTTGTGGCTCCTGGGCTATTTGTTTGGTGGGCTGCATAGTCAGCACAGAGGTCCACACATCCCTAATCCCAGCTGACAATGTGCGAATAAGGACAGTCACACAGTCACTCAGCCAAAATCCCTGGGATTTGAGAGCATGGGAGCAGTGATGGAAAAAGTATCCAATTGTCATACTTTAGTAAAAGTAAAGACACCTTAATAGAAAATGACTCAAGTAAAAGTGAAAGTCACCCAGTAAATGACTACTTGAGTAAAAGTCTAAAAGTATTTGGTTTTAAATATACTTAAGTATCAAAAGTAAATGTCATTGCTAAAATATACTTAAATATCAAAAGTAAAAGTATAAATCATTTTAAATTCCTTATAAGCAAAGCAGACGGCAACCTTTTCTTGTTTTTAACATTTACGGATAGCCAGGGGCACACTCCAACATAATTTACAAACGATGCATTTGTGTTTAGTGAGTCCACCAGATCAGAGGCAGTAGGGATGACCACGTGTTCTCAAGATAAGTGCGTGTAATTGGACCATTTTCCTGCCCTGCTAAACATTCAAAATGTAACAAGTACTTTTGGGTGTGAGGGAAAATGTATGGAGTAAAAAGTACATTATTTTCTTTAGGAATGTAGTGAAGTAAAAGTTGTCAAACATAAATAGTAAAGTAAAGTACAGAAACCTCCAAAAACTACTTAAGTAGTACTTTAATGTATTTTTACTGAAGTTCTTTACTCCAATGGATGGGAGAGATATGCCCCTACCGTTGATTTATTTCTCTAGCTAAATATTTCCCTTAGTGAATTTGGATCAATTTAGACCAGCAAAGATGTGCAAGATCTGATATCTAATGATATCCCTATGCAGGTTGTGTGATCGACCATCTCTCAGTATGACGCACCAGTTCCCAGCCCTCTCCAGTGGTCAGAAGAGGGAGCTCCAGGAGATTGCCCTTCGTATCGTCGCTCCAGGGAAGGGCATCCTGGCTGCTGATGAGTCTGTGGGTCAGTAAGGAGCTCTGCATCTTCTCTATGCACTGGAAAACTGTTGTAATTAAAATTATTATGCAACAATCTAAATGTATGTATGGTATTAGCAAGAACAATGGGACCTACTTTCAAGAAATCAGACAAATGTTTATTTCCAGTGGTGCTTGACAGAACCCTCTACAAATCAGTGGTACAGGATGGTATCCAATAGATTATTCCGTTTTTATAAATGTAGGTTTACCAGACTGTGAACATGTTTATTTCTAATGTTCCTGTAAACAGGCAGCATGGCGAAGCGCCTCAACCAGATAGGGGTTGAGAACACTGAGGAGAACCGCCGGCAGTACCGCCAGATCCTCTTCAGGGCTGACGACCGCATCAACAGCTGCATCGGAGGAGTCATCTTCTTCCATGAGACGCTGTACCAGCACGCTGACGACGGCACGCCCTTCGTCAAGATGATCAAGGACAGGGGCATCACTGTGGGCATCAAGGTACTGTATGGGCACAGGGGTCTAAAGGGCTAATGGTGATATCTGAAGTATGTTTTATGTCTCTGGTCTCTAGATTGGGCAAGAATACCTCTTGACCCTTCTTCTACTGTATATAACATTAGTGAGGGAAGGAATGAGAATGTGGAGCATATGGCTACTTGATATGCTCCAATAGACAGTCCCAGGAAGGGAGCAGGTTTCAACATTATGGAGGCCAAAAGGTAGCATCGATACACTCTGATCAGAAGTTCTACTCCTGATGGATGGCAGTGCTATGGGTATAATGGCTGCTATTAATATCAACACCACCTGGATGAAAATGAGCTGGCTTTAAGACATGGAGAAGATCAGTGTGAAGTGGAGGAAGGACTGTTGTCATTTTTATTTTTGATCTGCTCTACCTCTTTTTCTTCAGGTTGACAAGGGTGTTGTCCCCTTGGCAGGAACCAATGGAGAATCTACCACTCAGGGTAGGGCTGAGACCCCTCGGGTTCCACTCAATCTGATCAACAAAACTAGCTGAATTCGACAGTTACAAAATGTAGTCTGCCACTCACTGGTGAATCCCAATACTTTACAGCTTTGTTCATCTCTTTCTCATCCTATAGGACTGGATGGGCTCTCAGAACGCTGTGCTCAATATAAGAAGGACGGGGCAAACTTTGCTAAGTGGCGATGTGTGTTCAAGATCAGTGAGACCACTCCCTCTAAACTGTCCATTGAAGTGAATGCAAATGTCCTGGCTCGATATTCAAGCATTTGCCAGCAGGTAAGGACTCCACAAATGCAGTGTAAAGGCACAATGTCAGGTATGAGGAAATATCATAATTGCAATTTGTAACATCAGCATCACCTTCTAATCATCCTTTTTCTGTCACCCAGCATGGGATTGTGCCTATTGTGGAGCCAGAGATTTTGCCTGATGGAGATCATGATCTGAGGCGTTGTCAGTACGTCACAGAGAAGGTGGGACCTTACCCCAACTCTTAACCTGTTAGTGTGTAATATGTATTTCTAACATGGGCAGTTTATCATGTTCCATGTGTTCCCCATGTTGTGCAGGTGCTAGCTGCATTGTACAAGGCCATGTCTGACCATCATGTGTACCTGGAGGGCACTTTGCTCAAGCCCAATATGGCCACTTCTGGCCACAGCTGCCCCACCAAATACAGCGCAGAGGAGGTCGCCATGGCAACAGTCACTGCCTTGCGCCGCACCGTCCCTCCTGCTGTCACGGGTAAGGTCATAGGCCATTAGCCAGTTATATTGCCTCTCACTCTCAGAGAAGCTCAGAAAGAGGGTATATACAGTACTAGTGTCAGATTCAGTCACTATACCAGTGATTTAGCATTATGAACATATGTTCATTTATTGGCAGTTTGTAAAGCACTTATGGTGCTGATAGAAATCCATTCACTGTTCACTCTATTTGATTTCTATGTGTGCAGGAGTGACGTTCCTCTCTGGGGGTCAGAGTGAAGAGGAGGCCTCTGTCCACCTGAATGCCATCAACAACTGCTCCCTGGTGAAGCCCTGGGCCCTCACCTTCTCGTATGGCCGAGCCCTGCAGGTCTCCGCACTCAAAACCTGGCGTGGACATAAAGAGAATGAGAGTGCTGCCACTGAGCAGTTTATCAAGCGAGCAGAGGCATGTACATCACTTTGTTTTCAGCCTCTTGATCAACCTGGCTTTCATCTTTTAGCACTTAGCGTTGTTGAGAAACATGTTTATTCTGATTTTTTTTCACATATAAAACTGGACATTGCTATTTTGAGCATTTCACCATTTTCCAAATGTGGAACGGTCATCTGAGGAAGTGATCTATGTTTTCAGTTGACATGAAGGGAGTATGCCCCTAACAGCGTTTGTGTGTTTTTCCCTCATATCCCCATCCCCTTTCTCTCACTATCAGGTGAATGGCCTGGCCTGTCAGGGGAAGTACACTGGTGGCGGGGACAGTGAATCCGACCAGATCTATGTGGCCAGTCATGCATACTAATGAGCCAGTGATGCCTCACATTCCAGCTTTGGCCAACCAATAGCATAGTCCGCTGCCACTGCCATACCAATGGCCAATCGCAGGCATATGCTGTCTACAATCTGTATTCTAGGAGTTATAGTATCGTTATCTGAGTATACACACTGGTATTTCAAAAATGTTGCACATTGCTGGACACACTAGATAGAAGGGTCTAATGAAATTAGTAATTGAAGGATGTCCTTTGATTAGACACTTTCAACAATATTATTGTAACCTTTGAGATGACAACATGTTATTGTGGTAGTAGCAAAACTAAACCTAATTGATGTTCGGTTGTTTAATTATTTATTTTGATGAGATTCAGAATGATCTTTTGCCATGCAAAGCCACTTTCCAAACTGCTGCACACAGATAGGGTGCATGGTATAGGCCTATTGTGTGTGACGAGAATAGAGAACTCTAGGTTTTTTTAAGAGACCTTAGTGCCATTCCACATTCAGGATATGTATTGGAGATGTGTGTCTAAACAAAATAGCTGTGAACATACTAGTTTGTAGAAATAGTGTGTTCTTCTATCATAGTGGCAGAAAGTTCAAAGGCTTCTCGTTTTGGACAGCTGGACTTACAGTAAATCATGTTAGGTGGAAAAATGCTATTTTTGTGATTTAGCTAAGTATTGTTCTCTATGCAACTGATGTATAAAATACTGTAGTGCAAAAGTAAATCATAATAACAATAAATTGTGTTGAGTTGAAACAATCTGGGAATTCTGGTTTTATTTCTCATACATTAATCTCGGTTTAAACCAGAACTAAAATATCCAGTAATTTGGTCAGATGCTCATGCTCCGTAGTCTGTCCACGAGAGATTAGGCCTACTCATAATTTTTGTTTTTTTGTAACTGCACCAAAGAGTAGGCCTACCATAGAGTCAAACTCTGAGAATGTTATACAGTTCTTGATTTTAACAGAATACCTAGCTGGAAAATGTTCTTTGTTCATTTATCCTCACCCATAAACTTGTAGGCTATTTGTAGGTTGTCATCTGATTTGCTTTAGTATACCATGGTCTATGGCACCATCTACTGGCCAAAGATTGTAGTTGACGATAAAATCCAATTGTATTTGTCACATGCGCGGAATACAACAGGTATTACCGTGAAATGCTTACTTACAAGCCCTTAACCAACAATGCAGTTTTAAGAAAAATAAGAGTTTAGAAAATATTTACTAAATAAACTAAAGTAAAAATAAATAAAAGAGCAACAATAAAATAACAATAACGAGGCTATATACAGAGGGTACCGGTACCGAGTTAATGTGCTGGGTTACAGGTTAGTCAACGTAATTGAGGTAATATGTACATGTAGGTAGGGGTAAAGTGACTATGCATTGATAATAAAGAGCGAGTAGAAGGATTACTTTATCCTATCCCAGGTATTCCTTAAAGAGGTGGGGTTTCAAGTGTCTCCGGAAGGTGGTGAGTGACTCCGCTGTCCTGGCATCGTGAGGGAGCTTGTTCCACCATTGGGGTGCCAGAGCAGCGAACAGTTTTGACTGGGCTGAGTGGGAACTGTGCTTCCGCAGAGGTAGGGGGGCCAGCAGGCCAGAGGTGGATGAACGCAATGCCCTCATTTGGGTGTAGGGACTGATCAGAGCCTGAAGGTACGGAGGTGCCGTTCCCCTCACAGCTCCGTAGGCAAGCACCATGGTATTGTAGCAGATGCGAGCTTCAACTGGAAGCCAGTGGAGTGTGCGGAGGAGCGGGGTGACGTGAGAGAACTTGGGAAGGTTGAACACCAGACGGGCTGCGGCATTCTGGATGAGTTGTAGGGGTTTAATGGCACAGGCAGGGAGCCCAGCCAACAGCGAGTTGCAGTAATCCAGACGGGAGATGACAAGTGCCTGGATTAGGACCTGTGCCGCTTCCTGTGTAAGGCAGGGTCGTACTCTCCGAATGTTGTAGAGCATGAACCTACAGGATCGGGTCACCGCCTTGATGTTAGCGGAGAACGACAGGGTGTTGTCCAGGGTCACGCCAAGGCTCTTCGCACTCTGGGAGGAGGACACAACGGAGTTGTCAACTGTGATGGCGAGATCATGGAACGGGCAGTCCTTCCCCGGGATACTGGTCTGTAGTTGTTGACATCAGAGGGATCGAGTGTTGGTTTTTTGAGAAGGGGTGCAACTCTCGCTCTCTTGAAGACGGAAGGGACATAGCTAGCGGTCAAGGATGAGTTGATGAGCGAGGTGAGGTAAGGGAGAAGGTCACTGGAGATGGTCTGGAGAAGAGAGGAGGGGATAGGGTCAAGCGGGCAGGTTGTTGGGCGGCCGGCCGTCACAAGTCGCAAGATTTCATCTGGAGAGAGAGGTGAGAAAGAAGTCAAAGCATAGGGTAGGGCAGTGTGAGCAGGACCAGCAGTGTCATTTGACTTAACAAACGAGGATCGGATGTCGTCAACCTTCTTTTCAAAATGGTTGACGAAGTCATCCACAGAGAGGGAGGGGGGGGGGGGGGGGGGATTCAGCAGGGAGGAGAAGGTGGCAAAGAGCTTCCTAGGGTTAGAGGCAGATGCTTGGAATTTAGAGTGGTAGAAAGTGGCTTTAGCAACAGAAACAGATGAAGAAAATGTAGAGAGGAGGGAGTGAAAAGATGCCAGGTCCGCAGGGAGTCTAGTTTTCCTCCATTTCCGCTCGGCTGCCTGGAGCCCTGTTCTGTGAGCTCGCAATGAGTCGTCAAGCCACGGAGCAGGAGGGGAGGACCGAGCCGGCCGGGAGGATAGGGGACATAGAGAGTCAAAGGATGCAGAAAGGGAGGCGAGGAGGGTTGAGGAGGCAGAATCAGGAGATTGGAGGGAGAAGGAATGAGCAGAGGGAAGAGATGATAGGATGGAAGAGGAGAGAGTTGCGGGAGAGAGAGAGCGAAGGTTGCGACGGCGCATTACCATCTGAGTAGGGGCAGAGTGAGTAGTGTTGGAGGAGAGCGAGAGAGAAAAGGATACAAAGTAGTGGTCGGAGAGGGAGGGGAGCTGCAGTGAGATTAGTAGAAGAATAGCATCTAGTAAAGATGAGGTCAAGCGTATTGCCTGCCTTGTGAGTAGGGGGGGACGGTGAGAGGGTGAGGTTAAAAGAGGAGAGGAGTGGAAAGAAGGAGGCAGAGAGAAATGAGTCAAAGGTAGACGTAGGGAGGTTGAAGTCACCCAGAACTGTGAGGGGTGAGCCATCCTCAGCAAAGGAATTTATCAAGGCGTCAAGCTCATTGATGAACTCTCCAAGGGAACCTGGAGGGCGATAAATGACAAGGATGTTAAGCTTGAATGGGCTAGTGACTGTGACAGCATGGAATTCAAATGAGGAGATAGACAGATGGGTCAGGGGAAAAAGATCACGTTGAGGGAGAGGTTGTTGACACAGTATATTAGGCTCCAAGAAGGTCTTCATTCATAATCAATGTTTTTTTATTTTGATTTTTTTATTTCACCTTTATTTAACCAGGTAAACCAGTTGAGAACAAGTTCTCATTTACAACTGCGACCTGGCCAAGATAAAGCAAAGCAGTGCGATAAAAACAACAACACAGAGTTACATATGGGGTAAAACAAAACAAAGTCAAAAATACAACAGAAATACATATAATATACAGTGTGCAAATGTAGCAAGTTATGGAGGTAAGGCAATAAATAAATGTATATAACATTAGTGAGGGAAGGAATGAGAATGTGGAGCATAAGGCTACTTGACTCTATACTTTGGATGCATACTCACTTGTGAAGTCAATATTATTGGTGTAGGCCACCTACCTATAATAATAGGTTGCTGGACACTACTCATAAGGCCAACTGATAAATTATGGCGATTTAAAATTGCAATAATCTAAGAATCTGCTCACCTGAAAACCTTCTTACCTGAAATTATTCGCGTAATCATACCAATATCACACACCTGTGTTTATTTATTTAACATGTATTCTATCAGGGAGGAATACTGGGAACCAGGTCTCTTTTACAGATGAGTCCTGTACTACTGTGGACTATTTTGTTTGGCGGACGTAGCCATTTCTAGAGTTCTCTACTGAGCACATTTGTGGTATTCATGAATGCCCTCGCGAAGAAGCGCGGTTCTGCACGGGGAGAAGTGTAGCTATCTAGTACACAACTTTAAGCGCGATTGATACCTTATTTCGTGTTGTTTTCGGCAGTGTTTATGTACTGTACTCATATGGTTTTCTAATCGGCTGTGATCTACTTGAATACCGTCTTGCGAAATCGCTTCTTATTTCAACCTACCGCTAAAATAAACTAGCTAACGTTAGCTTGCTAGCTACTATGTCGGGAGGCGTCGTGCGAGGCCCTGCAGGAAATAACGATTGTCGAATTTACGTCGGAAATCTACCCCCTGATATTCGCACCAAAGATGTCGAGGACGTGTTCTACAAATACGGAGCTATTCGAGACATCGATTTGAAAAATCGGAGAGGAGGACCTCCCTTTGCCTTTATCGAATTTGAAGATCCCAGGTAGCTAAAGGCTAGCTTGTTAGCAACTCGTGCACTGCTCTAACGTTAGTTAGCCATCTGCTCATGCGACATTGTGTCGTGAATCGACTTTGTTTGCACGTGTAACTAACGTAACTAGCTATTCTCATTTTAAAAATGTACAGTAACGTCAATTGGCTTGATAGCTAGTTGCTTCCCTTTCTGCAATTACACATTGAGTGAAGGTCTCTTTGTTTGTGGCTAGCCGACTTATCTCCACGATTTATCATCGTAAATCGTTGAGTTTAGCAGGCTAACTAACATAGATTATGCTAACGAAGCACACCGCAGAGTACTGTGTGGACGATTGTTTAGCTAGTATTTTCTATGATCACTCTTTCAGGGATGCAGACGATGCCGTGTACGGACGAGACGGCTATGACTACGACGGTTATCGGCTGCGAGTTGAATTCCCTCGGAGCGGCAGGGGTGGGGGGAGAGGCGGCTTTGGTGGTGGTGGTGGTGGTGGGGGGGTTGGTGGCGCCCCTAGAGGCAGATACGGGCCGCCATCCAGACGCTCCGAGTACAGGGTCATTGTCTCAGGTGAGTCGTGTAACTAGGGTGTTAGGGGTCAAAATGAAACTGTGGTTCTGGTGTTATACTTTGTATTACATGTTAAAGAGAAGCTTCTCAGGAACACATTATTTTATGAGGTTTCGATTTACCATGGCTGAGATCTCATTTACAAGTGATCGAAAAAGATCGCGAACTGGTCAATGTTAATCCCAAATCAATAATGTCACCAAATCCACCTGTCTGGAGTCTTAATTTCAACACGATTTGGCCAATATAAGAAGATGGGGTGGTCATTTTGTAATTATATTTTCAGGGCTGATGTAGAACAGTTGATTCAAATAAAAGTTAAATGTATTAAATTAAACCGCAATATTATGCAAACGAGGCAGTACGGAATACATAATTAGATACTTAAAACCAATGGTTAAGGTAGGGGTCGTCATATTAACAAATCTTAGTGCTTTATGCAAAACTGAGTTTAACAATTTAATATATTAGAAACAACTTTTTATACGACTTTATGCAAATTAGGTACTTAATACGCTAATATGTGCGGATTAAAATAAAAACGGGGTGTTAAGCCCATTCATTTAAAGTAAGGAGGTCATATTGTTAACATATATTGATGTTTTTTGCTGAACTGGGAGGTTGTAACAATTTCATAAAGCAATACTAAATAATGAATTATGCAAATTCTCTAATTGTAACGTTCCAATGGGGAAAAAAATTAAGCTTCTGCTCTTGCACCTTTTAAAGATATACACACCAAAGTAACTGTTTTTGTTTTTTGCAGTCAAGCGGATCTCTCTTTCAACAGGCACAGTAATAGTTAAATGGGCTTGGTATACTGCAGTTCGCAATTCTGCCTATAACACTTCATGTGCTGTTACCGTAATATCTGCAGATATAGCCTAATCAACGCCACCTTCTCAAAGACATCAGGAAGTGGAGCCTTCCCACTAGCAGATTCGACCGTTTTTTGTCTGGGCTTTAAGACCAGAAAAATAGAGCCCCCTCCTCACATGCACACACGCACATCAATTTAGGCGGCGCTCTCTAATCAAATATCAGTATGTCGGTGCATTAATATGGTACACAGTGCAGCAAGGGTGACGTATATAGTCATACGTGTGCAGTAACAGTGCAAACATGACAAGCAATAGCAGCATTGGTAACAGGTCATATACATATGTGCAGGAGAATAAATAAAATAGAATAGATAGTGTACAGTGCTGTATGCTTTAGCAATAAAGAATGTTTACACTATGGAGTAAGGTGCCGCCCATGCACACTCACAGAGCACCAACACACTTACACAGCCAAACACACAGACTTCTCAGAATCCCCACCACAGCCTAACACATATACACACGTCTCACTAAGTCTGAACAGTAACACAGAAGGCTACAGTACTAGTCTAATAACATGGCTTACTTCTAAGGTAGGCCAACACCTGAGTTTGTTTACATTGTAATGTTTGGTGTTGATGAGTTACTATAGTGATGGGAGGATAAATTGCACCGTTTCCAGCAAATAATTAGCTTAGGCTGAGACAGTGAGCTGCCTGTTGTCCACCTGCACAACTAGATGGATGGGACACATTTCCAATTCACTGGTGTTTAGCTATGTTTTTATCGATTGCAGGGCTGTAGCCACTGAATTCTGGTAGTTTACACTTAAAATAATAAAACCTTGCAATTCGTACAATGTTACATCATACAATACCTTACGAATTGCAATTCATACAATATCTTACGAATTTGCGAAATGTACAGTATGTTAAGAATTTGCGAAATGTATGATATCTTACGAATTCCAATATGTTGTTGCTAACATTGGCTAGGTGGCTAACGTTAGCTAGCTCAAGGGGTTATGGTTAGGAGTTAGGTTAAAGGGTTAGGGGAAGGGTTAGCTAACATGCTAAGTATACTGAACAAAAATATAAATGCAACAATTTCTAAGATTTTACTGAGTTACAGTTCATATAAGGAAATCAAGTCAATTTAAATACATTTAATTTTAGGCCCTAATCTATTAATTTCACATGTCTGGGCAAAGGCCCACCCACTCAGAATGAATTTTTCCCCACAAAAGAGCTTTATTACAGATAGATACTCAGTTTCATCAGCGGTCCAGGTGGCAGGTCTCAGACGATCCCGCAGGTGAAGAAGCCGGATGTGGAGGTCCTGGGCTGGCTTGATTACAGGTGGTCTGCTGTTGTGAGGCCGGTTAAACGTACTGCCAAATTCTCTACAACGAGGCTGCTTATGGTAGAGAAATTAACATTACGTTCTCTGGCAACAGCTCTGGTGGACATTCCTGTAGTCAGATTGCCAATTGCACGCTCCCTTAAAACTTGAGACATCTATGGCATTGTGTTGTGTGACAAAACTGCACATTTTAGTGGCCTTTTGTCCCCAGCACAAGGTGCACCTGTGTAATGATCATGCTGTTTAATCAGCTTCTTGGTATGCCACACCTGATAGGTGGATGGATTATCTTTTTCAAAGAAGAAATGGTCACTAACAGGGATGTAAACAAATTTCAGCGAAATAAGCTTTTTGTGCATATTGAACATTTCTGGGAACCTTTATTTCAGCTCATGAAACTTGGGACCAACACTACATGTTGTGTTTATATTTTTGTTCAGTATATTTGCAAAGTAGCTAAAAAGTAGTAAGTAGTTGCTAATTTTCTAAAATGTTAAAGTTGTTCGTGATGAGATTCAAACACGCAACCTTTGGGTTGCTAGATGTTTGCGTTATACGCCCACCCATCCACCACGACTAAGCACTCTCCTTTCGGTTATGCCTTAAGAACCTTCCATCTTATGTAACTATACCAAACGTAACATATCATACTAATTTGAGTGTCCCGGATATACATTTACTATGTTACGTCTGGTCTGAGACCATTCTGGAACAACAGAAGGGGAAGGAAAAATGTTTTACCTTAAATTTCAGACTTTACATTTGGGCTCATATCACTTAAATATCATAACTTACAGTATTGTGATTTTTAGACATGGTTAAGAACTTCCAGATTCATGTTTCAAAGTTATTTATATATCTTGACAAGCACATTGTTGACATTTAGTGAAGATGTATTTGATTATTGCAGTTTTTTGTAGAATTCTTGCATAGTAGTCCCGTGTAGCTCAGTTGGTAGAGCATGGCGCTTGCAGCGCCAGGGTTGTGGGTTCGATTCCCACAGGGGACCAGTATGAAAATGTATGCACTCACTCTGGATAAGAGCGTCTGCTAAATGACTAAAATGTAAATGTAATAGTGTCTATTGTTTATTGCATCACTTAACACCCTAGTGTAATGTGGGTTGGGTTTATATACATCATTGGTTGCACTGCACGCCACCAGGTTGACCTACCGCACTGTGCAAACGGTAACTTACCAGTCTTTAATATTTCAATGACACTGTGCTGGTGGTCTTCTCTATTTCACTAACAAACAGACTACCTGTGTTACCGTCTGATTAACTTAACGTAGCAGGCGTAAAAAAATAAACGCATGAAACTAGGTCCCCTGTATACTTGGCTGTGTTCAGTACGTTTTTACATTCTGGAACAATACATTTAACGGAAACGGTGCTGTACTGAACGGCCAGTTGAAAAACTGGGAGGTGTTGGAACGCTGTCAACATGGCCACTGCCCTTTAAATACTCGCCATACCCAGCAAACGTAACGCAAAATCTGTTCAAGAATGTAGCAAACGTTGAAGCAAACTGAACGCACCTCAGGTCTTGATGAGAAGGAAAATAAACTGTCGGGGGAGGTTCTCTTCTGCACTGTTCAACCAATCCAGTAAATGTGGTTAAGATGGAGGGCCGCCTTGTTAAAGTTCCAAAAGCGCAAGTCGTGTCATAGGTGCTCTTTCCATTTCCCCTGAAAACTGGAACATCAGATTTTTGGGTACTCTGTAGAGGCTACCGTCTGATTGGATAGTTCCCTTTTCACCAGACAGAAGCGCTGGTCTTTTTTTGGACCGCTAAATATTGATGGTTATTTCATATCCATGTCTTCCACATTAGTTCATTGTTTCTGGTGGGGTAGAACCAGCCTGGTTTAGTTAGTCTCTGTGCAGAATCTGAATTATACTGCTATGCCACAGATCTATTGAGCAAGTTTGTACCATTGAGTAAAGTGTTGAAAGTAATCACTGAGTAAAACAACTCATTTATTTGCTCTTCTCTCCAAAGGGCTTCCCCAGAGTGGCAGCTGGCAGGACCTGAAGGATCACATGCGTGAGGCTGGGGATGTATGTTATGCTGATGTTTTCAGAGATGGAACTGGGGTTGTGGAGTTTGTGCGTAAAGAAGACATGACCTACGCCGTTCGAAAGCTGGATAACACCAAATTCCGATCACACGAGGTATGCCTTTAGGTTTAATTGGATTTGATTATAAGGATAGGATGATATTTTCATTAAAGGTAAGTAAAGTGACTACTAATACTATTGAATCTTTCCCCTCAACCTCTCCCCATTTTCAGTGACTACTTGTGCAGCCTTTCAAGAACTGAAGGCTTGTTTTGATGCAATGGAAGGAACCGTTTGAGGTGGAAATGCTTTTAGTTTCAACGTCTAGTTCTTTTTGTGTGTCTACCAGGGAGAGACCGCTTACGTTCGCGTGAAAGTAGATGGTCCCCGCAGCCCGAGCTATGGAAGATCCCGTTCCAGGAGCCGCAGTCGAAGCAGGAGCCGCAGCGCAGCCAGTCGCAGCCGCAGCAACTCTCGCGGTGGTGGTGCCCGTGGTGGCAGAGGATCTCCTCGCTACTCTCCTCGCCATAGCCGCTCTCGCTCCCGTTCCTAAACTCTGTGTTGCCCTTTTGGTGGATCCCCTGTAAACATTTCCCCCCTCCACTTGTTTTTACCCCTTTTTGAGTTTTTCAGATGTCAACTATAGATTAGAATGTGTTGCATTCCATCTCCTGATGTCCTAGTGGAAGGTCTTGGTATGTAGGTGTATCCCGTCCTGTCACCTTTCCTCCCTCCCCTGACCGACCCGACTTTTGTGTTTTTGTTTTGATCCCCTTTCTCAATTCATTTTAATTTACCTGTTGTCTTTCCTCCTCCATTTTTGCAACATTTGAAACCCTATTGCTCTGAACTTCAAAAATGTTGATCTTTTAACGAGTTCAATGTTTTTGTAAGTGTTGGAAAATGTATGTACTTTTTCATGGGATGGCGGGAGTCTCATTGCTAAACTGTATTTTACCCTTGTGTCTTCCTTTAGACATCTGAAGATAAGGATTAAAGAGTGATTTGGAATAAAAGTTGTGGAGCACATTTTCATTTGTTTGATCAGGATAGGACATCTTAGGAGGAGTCAGGTCGAGGCAATGGTATGCTTTAGTATTGATTATTTGCATCTATTGATAAAATGGTTGCTACAGGATGCATGATTCTCTTGAATGTAGCACAATTTTTTATATATATATGATATCAAAAATTGTGTGTATGTGTGTGTGTATATATATATATATATATATATATATATATATATATATATATATATATATATATATATATATATACACACCTGCCCTATCTATTGTTTGGCAACCTTTCTAGCACTGATAAACACAGTGCATGTCTTTGGTTTTGTGCCAGGACAAAGGTCCTTCTTAGGTGTACCTTTTTACTTTAATCCTACATAAGAACCATTTTATATATTTTTTATAGATGCTGTTTTAATATTAGACAGGGGCTCTGGGCTTGTTTCAGCTCAAACGTTGAGAAATATTAGACATTTTCTAAACTCTGAATTTGATGGTTTGGGTGCTCGCTGACATTTTCAAATTGATCTTTAGTAGTGACATGTCATGAGTGCACAAAATAAGACGTGGGCTTGGCCCAAATCAGACATGATTCTAATGGTTTCCCTCTGGTTTTTTTTTCTCCTGGTATTTCAAGGTTTTGATTGGAGGAGTGGCTCAGTGGATCCCAATCCTTGGAGCCGGATCAGAGGAGCATTTAGGGAAGGGATAGGCAAGGATGGATGCTTGGAGCCGGATCAGAGGAGCATTTAGGGAAGGGATAGGCAAGAATGGATGCTTGGAGCGGGATCCATTTTCCAGGATTCAAATCAATTGAACTAATTAAGGAATCCTAGATGCAACTTTTTGAATGGCCCAGTTTATTTCAATTTTTGAGCGGTAAATTTGCGCAGAGTCAAAGGATAAGGATTATTTACGTTTTTTGGAGTAAGAAAATGAAACTGAGGACCAGGAAGTTGGATCAAAGGATGCAAGGAGTCGTAGGAGTCTGGTAAATAAGGGATTCAAATTTGGGATGGTTGGGGATTATATTAAGTATAGTTACAGTCTGTTTTTCTTACTTAAATTGACTTTACTCTTTTAGTTTAGCATTTTCAATAAAGTCCTGAAAAGACATACCTGGTTTTTAGTTTGTTTTTCTTTTGAAATAAGGTAAAAGATTAACTTCATGGCCCTATGATGTAATAAGAGAAGATAAATGCTTATTTGTAGGCCTAATTGAAGAACAACCCAGTAGACCATCTACTCTAATGTATTACATTATACACCATGGGGCGGTTTCACGGACATAGATTCATCTTAGTCCTCTACTAAAGTTACAAACAAACGCAACAAGTGTAGGTCCCGTGTTTCATGAGCTGAAATAAATATTCCAGAAATTGTACATATGCACAAAAAGCCTATTTCTCTTAAATGTTGTGCACACATTGGTTTACATCCCTGTTAGCATTTTTCATTTGGCAAGATAAATGATAACCCATCCATCTGACAGGTGTGGCATATAAAGAAGCTGATTAAACAGCATGATCATTACACAGCATCTTGTGCTGGGGACAATAAAAGGCCACTCTAAAATGTGCAGTTTTGTCACACAACACAATGCCACAGATGTCTCAAGTTTTGAGGGAGCGTGCAATTGGCATGCTGACTGCAGGAATGTCCACCAGAGCTGTTGCCAGAGAATGTACTGTTCATTTCTCTACCAAAACATTGTTTCAGAGAATTTGGACGGCCTCGTGTATGGCGTCGTGTGGGAGAGCAGTTTGCTGATGTCAACGTTGTGAACAGAGTGCCCCATGGTGGCGGTGGGGTTATAATATGGGCATGCATAAGCTATGCACAATGAACACAATTGCATTTTATCGATGGCAATTTGAATGCACAGAGATGCCGTGACTAGATCCTGAGGCCCATTGTTGTGCCATTCATCTGCCGCAATCACTTTATGTTTCAGCATTATAATGCACAGCCCCATGTCGCCAGGATCTGTACACAATTCCTGGAAGTTAAAAATGTCCCAGTTCTCCCATGGCCTGCCTACTCACCAGACATGTCACCCATTGAGCATATTTGGCGTGCTCTGGATCGACGTGTAGGAGAGCGTGTTCGAGTTCCCGCCAATATCCAGCAACTTCGCACAGCCTCTGAAGAGGGGTGGGAGAACATTCCACAGGCCACAATCAACAACCTGATAAATTCTATGCGAAGGAGATGTCGCGCTGCATGAGGCAAATGGTGGTCACACCAGATACTGACTGGTTTTCTGATCCACAGCCCTACCTTTTAAGGTATGTGGGGATCTATTTTCTTATAACTGGATGTGATGCCTAGCTTAGAAAGAATGCATTAATGATTAAACATAATAGGTTTGTACTGTACTGATATAAATTGTTTAACATAAGCTGTGTTTCATGTGAGGAATGTTAGGGAGTAGGGTGAGACAGACTTGTATTTCTCACAGACACATACACACTGCCTCTTTGTTAAACCGCGCTCAAGGACGTGTACTGCAAAAAGGTGCTGACTACAAGTTGTGATGATAACAACTTATGCCTGGCAACAGTGTGCAACAGTGAAGCGCCAAGGGTCTGGGACCAGCCTGTGCGCCAACGATTGGCTGAGTAAGTCTAAACCACGCTCAGTCTCTACTCTGATTGGCCAGCAGGGAGCGGGAACTATCTCTGTCAGAGTATTTGAAGAAGAACTTAGAACAATGGATCAGTTCTCTGAGTGCCCTGCGTGGTATTTCAGTGGACCCGTATATACGAACATCATATTTACCATTGAAGTGGTTTGCATTAATTAAAATACTAGGCTATTTTAGAAGACGTGTATTGACCTCTTTTGTTCCCAATACCAGATTTGAATTGACGCAATTTATAGGTAACAGGTATCTGTGACCAACAGATGCATATCTGTATTCCCAGTCATGTCAAATCCATAGATTAGGGCCTAATGAATTCATTTAAATTGACTGATTTAATTATGAACTGTAATTCAATAAAATCTTAATTGTTCCATGTTGCGTTTATATATTTTTTCAGTATATTTCAATGGAGATTATTAATTGACTATACCTTTTAGACCAGGACTAGGTTTAATCAGGAAAATGGCCCCATGGGTTGTATGAAATAACTGAATATCAACTCAGCAATAAGTGATAACACCGCCTGTTTATGAGTTGTATGCAGTAGTGAGGAAATGTAAAATATTCCAGAAAATGTCATTTCAAGCAGACGTGCTTGTATACTGAACAAAAATAAACGCAACATGCAAAAATATCAACGATTTTACTGAGTTACAGTTCATATAAGGAAATCAGTCAATTGAAATAAATTCATTAGGCCCTAATCTATGGATTTCACATGACTGGGAATACAGATATGCATCTGATGGTCACAGATACCTTTAAAAAAGGTATGGGCGTGGATCAGAAAACAAGTCAGTCTCCTTTGCATAGAGTTGATCAGGCTGTTGATTGTGGCCTGCGGAATGTTGTCCCACTCCTCTTCAATGGCGAAGTTGCTGGATCTTGGCGGGAACTGGAACATTGTCATACACGTCAACCCAGAGCATCCCAAACATGCTCAACGGGTGAAATGTCTGGTGAGTAGGCAGGCCATGGAAGAACAGGGACATTGTCAGCTTCCAGAAATTGTGTACAGGTCCTTGCAACATGGGGCTGTGCATTGGCTGCGGATGAATGGCACGACAATGGACCTCTGGATTTCGTCACGGTATCGCTGTGCATTCAAATTGCCATCAATAAAATGCAATTGTGTTTGTTGTCTGTAGCTTATGCCTGCCCATACCATAACCCTACCGCCACCATGTGGCACTTTGTTCACAACGTTGACAACAGCAAACCGCTCGTCCACACAACGCAATACACGTGGTCTGCGGGTGTGAGGCCGATTTGAAGCACTGCCAAATTCTCTAAAACGACATTGGAGGCGGCTTATGATAGAGAACTTAACATTCAATTATCTGGCAACAGCTCTGGTGGACATTCCTGCAGTCAGCATGCCAATTGTACGCTCCTTCAAAACTTGAGACGTCTGTGGCATTGTCTTGTGTGACAAAACTGCACATTTTAGAGTGGCCTTTTATTGACCCCAGCACAAGGTGCACCTGTGTAATGATCATGCTGTTTAACCAACTTCTTGATATGCCACATCTGTCAGATGGATGGATTATCTTGGCAAAGGAGAAATGCACACTGACAGGGATGTAAACAAATGTGTGCACAAAATGTGAGAGAAATAAGCTTTTTGTGAGTATGGAACATTTCTGGGATGTTTTATTTCAGCTCATGAAACATGGGACCAACACTTTACATGTTGCGTTTATATTTTTGTTCAGTATACATCTCACACAGATAATATAAAGTCCAGTAGAAACATGGATTGTATTTCTATGATAAGATATTAACATAGCCTATATAATGTAATATCACTCATACATTAATTGATGCTGCTATCAATAAGATTACACATTGAGCATAAATCCTCCGTACAGCTGAGCTTGCCAGGGGTCCTTCTCTACCTACCTCACCAACGATGCATTATGGGATGAAATAAGATGCTGGCAGAGAGGAGCTGCTAGAAAATGCTCGCAACACAAGAAGAGGTGGCAGCTCAGCCAATCGCAGGGCAAGTGGCGTAGGGCAGCGTGTAGGGCGGGGGAGGTATTTTACCCGGGCACTTTCCCACAATTGCTTTGAGTAAAGCTTATAAAATAATTTGTCGCAGAACGATCTAGCAAGTAAGCAAAGCTTTATATCCACCAAGGTGAATTACCTGATTTTGAAGGGGAAAGTATCAGCATCTGCTACAAAAGGTGAGTTACAATGTTTATTTAGTAGTCTACACGCACGCACACTAGACTAGCATGGATGGTGGCGATTCAGGTTGTTTTATTGAAGCGAAGTTTCTCGTACAAGGTAGCCTACCTTTTTATATTTTTTATTTAAATCGTAAAGATGAATCTATGAACTAATGCGCAATCACTACCACCTGCAAGCTATTGGCACGAATCAGGTCTCCCTCGGACCTGTTCAATCATCCATAATCAGAAGGAATTATGTAGAAATTACATAATGAGTAGTTAATGTATATTGATGTTTGCACTAGACTAGAACTGTGCATCATTCAGGGGACAAATTCCTAATTTTATTAACGTAATGTCGCCATGTGATTTTGCCTTGTAATTTAATTCGACCTGTATCGAGTTTCTCAGTAGCCTATTCGTATTGTACCTAACCTACACAGGGTCGTCGTCACTCAACGTAAACTGGTGTCGAAATACAAAGTAGCCCAGTACATTCGGAGACATTGATATAACCGCGTTGTTTGCAACATTGTATCAGATATCGGCACGTAATTGGCTTGTCCTTTGATTTTCACAGTAAACAAGACCGTACGCTGTTAATGGTGAACATCAAAGTGCAAGCCAATCATAGTTGCAAGGGTTACCTGTGAATTCAGGCTTTCACTTCACTAGACTTGTCAGTTTGTATCTATAATGACAACATTAGTTGTGACCTTGTTTGCAGGCATGACTGACAGGAAGGCAGTAATCAAGAATGCTGACATGTCGGAGGACATGCAGCAGGATGCAGTGGACTGTGCTACCCAGGCCATGGAGAAGTACAATATAGAAAAGGACATTGCGGCCTACATAAAGAAGGTGAGATGTGCATACTGTAGTATCATACCCAGTCAGGCCTGCTGCCTTTGGCCTATGTATTCCAATTATAGTGGTCTTCCATGGTCCAAGCTGTTTAAAATTGGACAATATGTGCATGCCATGAGGTCATTTTCTTCCTCATGTAGTCATGGATGACTAAAGCCCTGTTTTAATTTGTTTAATCCCTATAGGAATTTGACAAGAAGTATAACCCTACATGGCATTGCATTGTTGGGAGGAACTTCGGCAGCTACGTCACTCATGAGACAAAGCATTTCATATACTTCTATTTGGGGCAGGTGGCCA